TCCGCTCCAATACTCACCTCGGACCAAACACCACTCCTCTCGCCACCCTCCTCCTCACCCTCCTCCTCACACTCCTCCTCTTCCTTCCTCTGACCCTCTCCCACCAACCCTCTGGCAAGTTACGACCTTCTGCTGCTGTCCCATACCCTGTACTCAGACACCACTCGTACCTTTGCTCCGAGATTCTGTCATAGTTCCAACCTCAGACTTTGACTCCACCTTGGCTTAAGTCCATTGCATTGGTGACCTCATACTATGTAAACACCATTGCCAATATTCCTTGGACTTTCAACCCCACCTCCATAACCTCCGTAAGCTCCATAACCCCTGAGCTCCATGGATCATACTCGGCACTTTCGCCTTCTGTAATGTATCTTTCATGTTTCCCCCTCATCCTTATTTGGACTGCTGCTTCTCTCCATTCTAGCCAGTTAGTCATCATCCCCACTTCACCTCACCCTCCTGCCCCTCTGGGCTTCACCCTCCCAATCTCCTTTTGGATGTACCACATGTTCTGACTTATGACCTTCAGTACCACTCCGCTTCTGTCATCCCTTTGTTCCGATTTGGACACCTTCGTTCCGATTTGGACCCCCTTTGTTTCCCTTGTGCTTTCATCTCCCTATTATATACAGGCACTTGTACATACTCATTTTGGACCTTCAGTCTAAAATCAACCTGAAATGCGCCCTTGTTAGAATGGGCAGATTCGGATGACTCCGGAGTGGAATCAGAGACTTAGCATGGAAGGACCTCGGCCTCAGCGACTCAGGTAGAGCGCTGTGCCATTGCTGGTTGTCCTGGGGGTCCCTAATTTCGGATCTAGCAGAGGGAAAGTCTCTTGGGGCGGAATTCAGGTCGATTTCGGACTGAGGTTACAAGTTACTATGTACATTGTATATAAGGAGGGGTCCGGAATCAAAAGGAGCAAGGGTACTCTGAAAGGAGACAAAGGGAGCTGGAAAGAGGAAAAACACTGAGGGTCAAGGGTTTGACTCAATGGTGTTTCTCAAAGGAGGAATGAAGGGCCAAGGCCCAAGGAGGAAGGAAGGAGGTTGGGAGTGGGGAATGGCTAGCTGACTGAATAGAAAGGAAGCAGCAGCCCAAATAGGAATGAGGGAGAATAGCAGAATTGAATAGGACAATGCAATAGTTGCAAGGTCCGACATAAGTCCGGAAAGTCCGAACTCGGAAGTTAAACTCCGGAATATTGGCAAACATAATTAAATGGAATGAGCTAACCAATACAATGGGTATAAGCGGAGGTGGGGTCAAAGTCCGAGGTCGGAGCTAAGACTGGAGGTTCCAGAGACAGAGATGCAACCAGGATTCCGGAGCGGAGGTCCGGAGTCAGGAGCATAGGTGTTGCGTGCTCATCTGGAAGGTGTCGAGGTTGAGGTTGGACTCGGAATGTTCCGGAGTCGGACCGAAGGTGGTGTTGGAGCCGGAGGTGGGATGACCTCTTGGAAGTCGGCAAGGAGAAGGTGATGGAAGGGAAGTAGGGCCCTGGAGTAGTTTCGGAATTCTGGGAGCCTGGAGCGGAGGTTGGGATTGTACGGATATGACACCCCTAGAGACTTCCTGCTCACCACCTATGAGATTAAGGACCAAATGGACAAACAGCAATGGCACAGCGCTCCACTTGAGTCGCTGAGGCCAAGGTCCCTCCTTGCTAAGTCTCCGGTTCCCCTCCGGAATCATCCGCCCTCGCCCAGTTCTAACATTCTCGGCTGTAGCCATACATGAACATGATGCTAACTATTGAATATGAATGATCACGAGAAGTCTTGCAAAATGGAATAAATAATCCAGCCAGCACCAAAACCCAATAAGGGAAAGCTTAGTGCAGAGTGAGTGTATAAGAAAGGGGGGAATGGGGAGAATGTAAGAAAGAGATGGGAGGATGTGGACAAGGAAGACCCACTGTGGTTGATGTTCAGTCGACATGGTCATGAGAGACTCCATTCCTATAACATCAGGGCTCAGATGCCACTGAATGTACCTCTGGATGAGGTCAACATCAGCCTCAGCACCAGGGGTGTTGAGCGGGAGTGTTGCAACTTTCAGAATGATAGTCGGCACATAGTTGAGGATATCATCCTCATCATACACTGACCCATCAGGGGAGTCAGGGTTTCCCAGATCCTGAGATTGGGAGGGTTGGCCTCTACTCTGAGGCATAGCCTAGGTGAGTGTGTGTCTAGGAACAGCACTGAAGGAGCGGAGCTGGATCACCTTATGTAACCAGTTTCCTACGTCCAATAACGATATTAGAGTTTGTGCTGATTTGCGTACTGACCGTGTTTTGGTTGCCAAATATATAATTGTTCACTGTCTAAACAACAATAAACACCCCCCAACGATCTCACCTGACGTATAGATCGTCTATGGATAAAATTCTATATTGACTTTACTATGATTTCTAGTCAATATTACACCTAGATATACCACTTTTCAGTAGGATGTGATTTTCCTGATAATTTACTGAAGGAAAACTACTAATAAAATAATTCCGCAATAAATGTTACTCAATACAGGAGTGACCAAACTGCTCTTTCTATCGCTTAGAGTGCGTGCTAGTTATCTAGCAGGTTCAGGATCGCTCACTTTTTTCTTGTGGTGTGATAACCAAGTATTGCTGAGAGATTATTCAATTAAGAAGTCCCTCCACCAAATTCTCACTAATTCTCACTATGACACTTTTGTTCAGCTGTGTCTAACTGACCCTAACTCACGCTTAGAGTGACGTGTTAGTTTTATATTAGCTAACAACTAATATTTGCTTTTATCTTTTGGAGCAAATGAACCAACTACTGGTGAGGAGAATTAAACTTTTATTTCTACCTGAGGTTTGAGAGGGGGCAGAAGCGGCGGCCTTTTATGCTTTTCAGAGGCCTCTCTACTCCCACACCTCGCACTAGTTACATGTGCTACATTTGTATTATAGATAGTTCTAGAATGATATAGGGGCTTGGGCTGTGTAAGCTTAATAATGGACTTAGGACATGACTCAGCAATAAGTAATTCATTTCTGTGTCTTTTGGGCCGATCTTAGCGGGGTCTTGTAGCGCTGAAGCTATGCTCTACACCGCCTTAATTACGAACGGTTATCTTTAGAAATGACTCGGCTATAAAGGAACTTTCTAGACTGTTCTCTAATTGACCCCTTTTTGTGAAGCCGCATCATTACTAATGTTCTAGAGTTTTCCCAATTAATTAACTGATTCGCGAACTTCTGAATCACTTCATGCTTATGATCCGAGATCCAGATCATCAATCATTCCTTTGTTCCGATTTATTTGAGCTTAAAATCAAAAAGTTTTGATGAATCATGGGAAAATATACAAGATCCGGTTCTTTTAGCATTTTCTCCTCTTCTGATGCAATCAAAAACTGTCTGCCCGCGCCGGGGAATACTCTATCATATGGTATTTGGTCCGCCAGACCTCCGGGCGCCAATATATTTCCCTTGAGTCACATTACTTTTTATAAGAATTAGCAAATAAATATATATGAATTGTAAGGTGTTTCGCCGTTTGAGCGATATCTCCGTCAGTTTTGAAGCTTTTAGAATGAAACAAAACCGTGGATAAAGTTTAGAAACAGTCCTTTCAGATGGCAAAAAGATTACAGTCAAAAGTTTACTGGTTCCCGAGATATTTACATTTCTTTCCCAATGTTCCTTCTTATTCTGTCGTCTATGTGCTATTTTCTTGTTGTAGGGATATATTCTTTGAATATTACACCTATGCCAGGTTCTAGGCATGCTTGTAGTAGATTAAATCTCATGCTACATGGGTGTGGATAATTTATAATGATCTTCTAATGTCTGTCCAGTCTCATAAAGATCATGAGATCTGTTAAACGTCTGAACTTGTGTCAGGGCACACCTGCCTGACCCCGCGCCACACCCCGCACCGTACTGCACTACCCCATTATCACTCCCCATCTCTCCTCCCCCATTTTCCCCCTTCTCTCTATCTCTATTTCTATTTCTATTCCACAGTTGATTTCCCTTTCTCTGTGTACTACCACATACCTAACCCCGCCCCCTGATCGCCGCACGTGCCATGCACACTCCCACCTACTGAGCGGCCACCTCTGGGATCCCCCACAGAGACACCCAGGGAGGTGCGGCTGTGTGCGGAGATGACGTGGCTTTCCTCCACGTGACCCTAGCTGCATGTATATAATAGTGCCTGGGGTGGGAACAGAAGAAGCAGCCTTCTTCTCAACTTCCCACTTCACACTAAGTGGTCGGGGACGCTCACCCCACGATGGGATCGCTGCTATGCACAGCCGCTATTCATCCCACCGAGTCCTGCGTGCAGGGACCTCGCCACTTTTGGAGCTGTCCCTGACAACTTGTCACCTGTTCGTTGACTATTCTGATAGATCATTGTTTTATTCTTTGAATATTATTTCTCCTACAGCGCACATGTGATTTGTGCATGAGAACTAAGTGCAAATGCACATTGTTGGGCTAGACAATGTGTGCATGATCAATGATGTGCATTGTCAGGGTAGACAACATGTGTGGGACACAGTAGGGTTCCAGTGCCAATCGCAGTGCTGAGATTGTAAAAGGAAACTAGCTTAAAAAAGTGAAAGGTTTTGCTTACTTGTTTGGGGACAGTAATGTTCCATTCCCCCATTTGCCTCAGGCCTCAGATATTCCATCTAAATATAAGCTTTAATGTGCTGTATATTCAATGGGGTAGGAGGTAAAAGGCTACTGGGCCTTTACAACTACTCCAAGGTATATATATGTAAATTACATATCTCGGCACAAATAAATAACGAAATAACAGCATCACTATAATGGGAATTATAGTGAAGTAAGGTTAATCCCTTACAGGGTGGTCCAAAGGCAGACTTGCAGGGCAGGCAACTAAATGGCCTAGCAGAGGCAGGGGTGCACTTGCAGACATCAGAGCTGTCCAGAGGCCTTCAGGGTTCCATACTTAGGTATATATTGAAACACACCATTCCAATTTCCCTCTAGGATGAGAACCCACCATGCCATGGTCTAGAGGCTCCCCTGGCACCCAATCTGATTAGCTGGTTTTGGGTCTAAGAGGTTCTCCTTTGCTGTGATGGATAACGGCATGGACAGCACTAACATGTTGTGTTATCCTGTGTTGGCCTTTTTCACCTTTCTGTGCCACCTTTTTTCCACCATCTTCCACTTTCCTACCATCATGCTCACAGCGACTAGAATCCTTGGGCAGCCTTTTCTTTCCCTCTTCACCAATTGTGAACTCGGGTGGTTTCTAAAACAGGTGGCTCCCATGTGGGCGCATAACGGTTTTAGCTCCCCTTGTTCCCGAAGCACGGTTCTCCAAAAGACCAAGAGGCACGAAGGCATTCGTCCGGCCAACATTCTCAGGAGCTGTTTCAACTATCCCGTTCGCCGCGATACTCCAAAGCATCAAGAGGCACGCTTCGACATCTGGCCAACAATTCCGAACCCACGCAACCATATGCTTTACTTCCTCTCTTTGTACGTAATGTCAGATCTTTTGATCCGTGCCCTTGGCACCTTATTCGGGCAGCCTACACGTGCACATTAAATATCCAAAACTCACACACACACACACGCCCTTCCGATCTCGAATGTCCCAAGCACGAACACCACCGAAACTTGCTCCCAGACGATGAAGGTGAACTGATCCTTGCCGACCTCCTGGTGGACGAGAAAGGAATAGAGAGGGTAGCAGGATTTCTGTCAGCGAGTGGAGCATACGAGAAAGAGAGAAGGACAGAATAGACACACCCCGAGATATGACACCGCTGGAAGGCGGAACCCATCCCATTTTCGAAACCGACACCTAAAAACGGTCAACCCAACACGACAACTCAAAAGTGGAGCAGCATTTGGGCAACGCCTTATCAGAGAGATTAAGGACACCCGAATCGGACTTATTTCTTTATTTTCTCACCTTATTTTTGTGTATTTATCTCGACCCCTGCCCTTGGCGCTCTCACGAGCAGCCTACAGTTTGCAGGTTAAATATCCAGAATAAACAACAACAACAACAGCCCTTCCGATTTCGTTCCCAGTCTCGGTTTAACCGCGGGATTTCCCAGCCTCCGTTTCGGAGAGCATCTCCCCATTTCACTTACCCGAGCACCTACATTAGCTCTGTCGTCGTCACCGTCGTGCATACTACGCAGCCCATTTTCCGTGCCTGCATCGAACTCTTGACGTTGGAACTGTCGCTTTGCCTCTTTGTGACCTCACTCCAATCCTAAACCACCCTGATGGAGCCAGAGGGAGACGTAACCGGATCTGAAAGCCTGTCCCGAGATTCAAATTTCGGTCATATATAGATGGGAGTTTGTGGCTTCGTGTCCGTAATGTCACTGCATAGACAACTCCTTTATACCCCAAGAAGGGCCGTTCCAGTTTTTTCAAACCGATCTCCACATTAAGCCCATGCGTAAGCGCGCGTGCAGCCGCTTCCAATTGGTACAAGGTATGCGCACGCCATCCCAGTGCATTACGTCACACTGACTGACTACCGGACGGCCAAGAAAAAAAAAACAAGCAGTGGCGCGTTTCCTAGCTCATGGTCATTTCCCTTTTCCGTCTACTGCGCCTAAAACCCCTCCAGGAATGGACTAACAGCACGCGGTTCTGTCCTTGCATGACAGTTGGGTCCGAACCTTTCCTGCCGCCCATCGACCACCGTGCCATTCCCCGAAACTCTGATCCAAGGATGATTAAGGGCTGTGTGCTGCTGTGCGGTCAACTCTTGATCGCTCTCAGATTTTGGGCGCTCGGGTGTTCGCTGCGACTCCGTAGCTGGGGAAACGGACAACGTTTTTATCCGAAGTCCATATAAGGCTTTACTAGCTGTGGAAGGCAGTATATTCATTATGGACAACTGTAGGGTCCGAGCTGAGACAGACAAGTATTCTCCACGCTCTGAGGCACCAACTGGCTCAGTTGGGGGTCATGCAAACTGAAGATTCCCATTCCTCTGCACAGCTGGCCACCACTCCAACTAGCCCACCCATATGCGAGCTTTTGATATTTACACGCCACTCTCTGTTTTCTCGTCGTCACTTATATACACGGTCCCTCAATCATGATCGTATATAGGCGTCTTAAAATCCCATGCAGTTCTTCCGCACTGTCGAGTACTTTGCTCTGTTTCCACCAATCTAAATCCAGACTCCTGCTTCAGTCGCTCGTAGTTTAGCTCGGAATCAACCACTGTGGGTACACTCCTTAACCTCCTCCATACTGCCTGGCGCGATAATCCACTGCTAGTACATAGTTCTTCTGCCTTTGACCCAACTCAGGGGACGTGCTCTTGATGTGAGCTACTAAGATAGCGAAAGCTCAATAGATAAGCTATGGATGCCAGACACGGTGTTATGGATATTCTAAGCCATATCCTTGTTCCGCGGCTATCTAGTCCAGGAAGCTTTCGCCTCTTCCCCTTCATGCATTCAAAGTGCCCCTTGTCGGAACGGGAGAGCGTAGTACTGGTCTATGCATAGAACAGGGGATGCACGGTTCCCCTCTGGGAATGGGCTCTTCGCTCCCGGGTCCTCCGGAAATTTTTGACTCTCCTCATATACGATGTCGAAGTTGTTTATTCGAACAGGGAACCCCCTCCCTCGCCATGAAAATGATTGTCCTCAGGAGTTGGCGGATTTATCGTCTCCGTTGCCTTCGCACCCTTTCTGTTCACGCGGCTTCTGGATGCAGATGCATTCACGCACTAATTTCCACTTGGCAGGGCTCCGGCCTCGTTAAGTATTCTACATGGGCTGCCGCCTGCTCCACCAGATCCTGGTGCTAATCGCAGAAGGGTGGAGCGCCGGTGCAATTCGACACGACCGAATATTGGCATTCCGCACCGTCCGACACACGACTGCATTTCGTGCCTCCATCACCTTTGAAACATTCTCCGCGGTGTCCAGCTGTATACCAGTTGTCCCAGGTCCCATCCACTAAGATGTGCGTGCCGCAAATCGAGCCGATCGTCACTCCCCCAATGTGAATAACACCAACGATCCAGTCCTGCACTATATCTTCGCAAGCGCCTGTTAGGTAAACATAGGTTAAGAGCAGGAGCCAATTCCGTTTTAGGTTTGGTTCACCTACCTAGAGACCCAGGGATGACATTCGCAGCGACGATGGCCCAATCGACTTCCAGCCTCTGACTAGTGTTGCAATTGACCAAAGCAGTGTAGAAATCAGCCGCGACGATGGGAAGTATTGCGATTGAGGCAATGGCACTCCAGAATCGCATTGTGACTTTCAGAAACTGGCAGGTAGTCCACAAAATCAGAAACTACTCACCTATTAATGGACCTAAGTACACATGCACCAACCCAGGTCACACCATCAAGTGCTAAATATTAGTAGTGCTGATTTGATATGTGATCGGCAAGCATGCAATTGGTTTTGGAATTTGACTTTGAAGGCATCCAGAGACCAGAATGTGTTGGCTGTTAGGGTCCTGTACATCTTAGAATAAAACTCATCAGGAAACTTTGGATTGAGGTGATTGCAGTGATTTTAATTCAAAAATTTGAATTGGAAAACCCTTGCTGATCCTGACCAATTCAAATTTTTGAATTAAAATCACTGCAATCACCTCAATCCAGCCTTCAAGGTTTCCTGATGAAGGCTTGAGCTGAGAGTGAGAGGAAGGGGTGCCCTGTTGGAGTAGTCTGATGCCACTGGTGCTGATGGCTGGCTAGCCACTGGCCTAGTGTGGTGAAGCTGGGGAACATAAAGCTCAGGGCTTAGTATCAGAGCACCACTTCAGGTCTGCACTGATGGTAGCATGTGGGAAACAGACCCAATCTCCATCACTCTGGAGAGATCTAATCATCCCAATGTTTCCAATCAGCCTGATTGTCAGGGGATGTGCGTGCTCGTGCAGGTTGCTCTGATAACCTAGTTGTGATTAAAGCTGGGGGAAAGGGATGTCCCCATCTTAGGGTCAGCTATATACATGTAGAGTCCGGCAATAAGGAAACCAAATGGATTGCTGATAGAATCACGTGATCATAGAATGTTCCAGAACAATGCCAGAGATGATCCGGGCCACTGGGGCTTAGGTAAGCGGAGTAGACAGGAATTACCAGCATACTTCCCATGCGCATATGTGCAGCCAGCACAAGGTCCAGGGTCGTTGCTGATCCCTGACACTGATCTAGCCAATCCAATTTGATCTGAGCTCCACTGTATTGATTAGGTAGTCCATACAGTCTCTATGTATATACAGGAGTGCAGCAAGTGGGTTTGTCCCTCACTCTTGTTATCAACTAGTTTACTGGGACCACCACTAGCACAAACTGACATTTGTTCCCTGACACTTAGGCTCATGCTTTTGCCTGGGGGGGGGCTTTATAATTTACAATTACTAAGCATTCCATCATGCCTAAGTTACTGTCAGGGTCATGCGTGCTCGCAACAAAGAAGGCCCCACAAACCTAGTTGATATCAAAGCTGGGGGACATGCCCATGCCAGCACAAGGTCTTATGTACATGATAGAGACAGCTATCAGGCAACTAACTAATAACTGGTAGCAATGGATCAAAGAAGATAGAAGATCATGCAGCATCATAACCAACAGCTGCAGACTGGATCAAACTGGAGATGAAGAAGTGAAAAAGAAGAAGAAGTTGATGGGAATATGGGTCATGTGGCAATGCGCTACTTATGCTAGTGACCTGAAGGCGTGCCCTGACAGTTACACATCTTGATTCATTCCATTACACACAACTATGTGCAGGCATTGACTCAAGATGTTATATTTCTTGCATCTGTTCTTTGATGGGGGACTATATCCAGTAACAAATCCTTGATATTCATCCTCATGGGTGTTGCAAAAATGGGGCCAGAGGTACCCATTTTTGTCCATTCTGGCACATGAATAGGAAAGGGGGTGGGACATAAGGGTTTACAGATGATGGCACAGGTGGTGTATATGTTGGAAATTCAATGGCTACTAAAGTGTGCAGTGGCCACCTGTTGTTAGACACTGGTCCGGGGTCGGCACCGAGGGTCGCCGTTGCGGGCCACTATAGGCCGTGATGGCTGTGATGCTGCGAACAAGGCCCGGGGGTAGGGCATTTGGCCTCAGCAACTCTAAAGGGAGTGCTGTGCCCCCTAGCTGTCTCTTGGCCCTCATTTCGGACTCACTGGGGTTGCCTTGTTGGGGTCAGGACTTAGGGGTCGTGGTCACATCGATATTAGAGCTAAGGTACAATAAAGTATCATACAGGATATATATAGGAGGAAGAAATGAATGGAAGCGGACCCGGGCCAGAGGCCGAAGGGTCCAGAAGCAAACAAGAATAAGGAGCGGGGTTGGCCACATAGTGGCCGGCAATGACTGAGGGTCAAAACAAACAATAACAGATAAATAAAGGAAAGAGTGTAGGGCCGCGATAGTGGCAATGGTATCGTAGCAGCGCTGGACTCGGAGTTGGGCTGGAGTCGGGCGTGGGAATGGTAGCGGCCCTGTAGGGGCCAAGTGGGCAGGGTAGAGGAGTCGTACTCGGCGTGGTGCTGGAGGCAGACTCAGGGTGGGAAGGTTGGTGTGGCTGTGGGGGAGTCGGCCAGGTGCAGGGGAGCCTAGGGGCAAGCAGGGGAGTGAGCAGGGAGTCCTCAGGGAGGATAGGGCTGAAGTCGGGGCTCACGCTCACGCTCGCATAGCGGTAATGGGCTCAGGCGGCATCGGGATGGGCGGGGAACGGGCCGGAATGCACGGCCGTGACACCTGTTACAGATACAGAGTCTCCAATGACCATATCCACTGCATAGTCAAAGACCTCCCCTTTCCATTGCTCCCTCTCTCTCTCTCTTTTGCTCTCTATCCTGATACCTTACTATCCTTACCCATTCTACTCCATTCCCCCCCATCATGCAAAGCTTTCCCCATTGGGGTTTTGGTGCTGGCCGAGGTTGTTTGTGTTTCACGGGATTTCCTGTGACCTTTCCATTTGTAGATAGTCATGCATCATGTATGGAAACTGCTGAAGGCAGTTCCCGCAAACTACACTCTACAACTGTCTTGTGCGCTGTCAGGGGACAATCCCTGGGTCCCCATGACCCCTCTCTCTATGGCCCACAGCCCAACCTGTAACAGCCTGGTCTCAAGGCAAAGAGCTACTGTGGGGAAGAAAGTGAGAAGAAGGTTAACTTCTCACTTTCCCACAGTGGCCCAATATGGCAAAAACTTCCAGGGATACCCGGAAGTCACATGAAGGATAGGAACCGGGCCCAGAGCATGCGGTGTGCAGAGGCATACATGCAGGTGCGAGTGTGGGTCCAGATGTGGGTCTGGGTCCAGGCTAGTCAGGGTGTGTGCCCTGACATGCACCGTCCCTTGTAACAACCCCCTCTTGTGACTCAACTGAACCTGTGTGCTTGTACAACTCTCAACATGTCCTATAAGTCTGGTTATATTGAGTCCTCTAGCAGTTCTCACCATGAGAACTCGAAGTCGTGAGTCAAAGACTCTCGACTTGTCTATCATCCTATGGAACCTGTATCCTATGGGACTTCATCACTCAGCTCTCCTCCATTATATATATTGGCGCTTGTACATACTCGTTTTAGGCCTTAGTCTAAAATCGACCTGAAATGCCCCCTAGAGACTTCCTGCTCACCACCTATGAAATTAAGGACCAAATGGACAAACAGCAATGGCACAGTGCTCCACTTGAGTCGCTGAGGCCAAGGTCCCTCCTTGCTAAGTCTCCGGTTCCCCTCCGGAATCGTCCGCCCTCGCCCAGTTCTAACAGTGCTGGAGGTTGAGTGGAACAGGATTTTAGTCATGTCATTTGGCAGACTCTTGCCACGGCTTTGCTGGAGCATGATTTTATCATTTTGGGAATCTCAGAAGTCAAATGGGATTTTTATTCAGTATCTAAGCACATCCCAAGTCTACCAAGGTGAGGACAACGATATGATGGAATTCTAATGAAATAATATGATGGAAATTTGACATTGGTTTGCACGCATATAGCACCCAAGTGAGATTGCGGTAGTACTGGTACAAAAGCTAGAGTTCGCCTTGCTGGGACATGTTTGTGGCTAGTGAGTCATCTGTAAAGATGGTGCGAGCCCGGTCAACTATTGCCCATTGAGGTTCTGTTGTACCAACCCAGATGCAGCCAACCACTGTGCAGATGGAGGCTAAGTCCATGATTTCAATGTATGATGTCACAGTCTTGAAATATGTCAGCTCTAGCATGGCATTGTGTAAGGTCGGTGTGGGTGCCGACCTTGGTGCCTCTTCAGTCCTCAGGTCAGTCGATATCTAGGTTGTATAGAACTTAGTATTCGACTTGGTGTGGAGAAGAGTAAAGAACCCTTTACCCGACTCTGCACCATACATATGTAAATACAAAAGTACAGCAAGGAATAATAAAGGAATAAGTAAATCACCACCCCTTCCTTACACATTGCGTCCCTGTGTATCACAAGTAGTTATGACAGCGAAAAGGATGGTTTTGGGTTCAGAATTGTTGGATATGGGGTTCAGTGGGATGGTGCAGTGAAGGATATATTCAAGATGCCCATAGTAGATGGTATGAACAAAATCCTCCTTGGCCTGAGGGCGGTGGGCATTTGCATTGGCAAATAATTCATACTGTCATAAACAAAGTAGCACACTGGGTTAGTATGCAAACAGAGGTACGATCACTTACATGAACGAAAGAAGCATCATGGATGCTCCGCTGGCCATTCTCCTGTGTGACCACTGTTGTGGGGACAACTCCGTGCACCACAAAAAGTCGGATTCTGCAGAATTTACCCACCAACACACACTACATATCTGCTGATGCTCCCGATGCTCATTCTATCACTATCCAACACTCCATACACTCACTCCATATTTTTCCATATTTTCCCCATCATTCCCGACAGTCCCAAGCCAAATTCCCACACCCAACCATGCTGCCAATTTCACCCCTCTCCAGATCTCCATAACCACACATACAACCCAGCCGTTTTTCTACCTGTTGGTGATGCTATACCTTCCTCCTTTGCCCACGGAGCATTTCCCAGAATGGAAACCCCATATTCGGATGGTTCAGCATGGTGTATAGCCTCACGTGGTCTTGACAGCACCTGTCAATGGCCACATCTCAAGAACTACTGCACCAATTGGGATGAATGAGGGTTCGTTGGAAAGCTGGAGACGAGGAGATTGCTGACGGGAGGATAGGTGGGCGCTGTGGCGAAGTGTTGCGGAGTTAACTTTCACAATTCCCATTTCGGACCCGTTGTCACATTTTCTCCATTCATTCATATTTCTTTTATTGTTTCCTTGTTCCCAATTGGACATTCCTTATTTACGGTTGCCTAACAGCCCATTTACATTCCCCCATTCCATTCATTCCATTTCCAACTCATATAAAATAGATAATAGCTTGTACATAACAAGTTAGTACTGAATTGTCAGGGGACGACTCCCAGGTCCCCATGACCCTCCCCTATGGTCCACAGCCTGTGGTGTAACCAGCCCTGTCCAGGGCACAACTCTACTGTGGGTAAGGAGATGAGAAGGAAGCTAACTTCTCATCTTCCCACAGTGGCCACAATATCAGCAAAACTTCCGGGGATACCCGGAAGTCACATGAAGGGGTAGGAACCGGGCCCAGAGCATGCGGCACGCGGAGCGTGCGCGCATGCAGGAAGTGCAGCGGATGGAAGCGGGTCCAGATGCGGGTCCAGGTCCGGGCTAGTCAGGGTGTGTGCCCTGACATGAATAGACCTGTGAAGGGGAAAGCAGAAGTTACATCCAAGTGGCAAAGATGCCATACACGACCCTAACGCCCCCCTTGTGCTTGTTGCTTACATCTAAGATCCCTCTGCTCATAACTCTCAGCCTTGACGTCCAAGAGAGATGTAGGTGAGTGTTTAGTTGAGGTTTTAGCAGACCTGGTAGCGCCCCACGACCAAAACCCAGCCCCACGAACCACACCTGCGCACACTACAACCCTCCCCCTTCTCTGTCTCGAGTCTAGGTGATAGACCCATTACACTGCCCCTCGAATAAGATCACCTCCATTTCCGATGCAAACTTTCCCCCAGTGTGGCATCATTTGTGGGAGGAAACCCAGCCATGACTTGATTGAGCCACCGAAAGAGGTCTTCAAATGCTTAGCAATCTTTTTTCGAATTTTCAGGTCAGGGATGTATTGTTGGACGACAGGGTTGGGTAAAAAAGAGATTAGATGGGGGAAGTTAGTCAAATCAAGTAGAATGAGGGATACCCACAAGCAGATTTCGTAAACCGTTTCTCATGTAGAGATGGGACATTCATATCCCATCTTGCTGGCATCAATTCAGCTAGGTTATATTGGTTGATAACCTCAAATAATTGTGCTGCCTGGAACTGTCTCAGTGCAAGGCAGGCAAATGGTTCCTTTCGAGACTTGATGGCAGGTAAGAGTGAGCCACACCACCGTTCCATGATGAAGGTCCAATTGTTGCATGGTGGGCCATTATTTCGAATATCGTATGGGATGTGAAGGAGTGCATGCAAAGTGAGGGGGCATGTGGGTAACCGCTGTGCTGAAAATTGGTAGTAAATACTGGGAAGCAGAGATGTGTCATGACCGACAAATCCTGGGGCTCCGTCAGCGGCGAACCAATGCCGATAGGCGAATCCGCCGACCCGAAACCCATCCTAACCAGCCCCCAACCCCATGTCTGGCCCCCTGCCTTACTGCGTGAGACTTGGCCAAGAATCAGAACCTAGACCCTGCCGGTATTCCGACCTTACCTCCAGTTCCTGAGCCCTTGGCACTCCCGGCATTCAGTCACGCCTGCCTTGTCTCCATCTGAACCACACTCATCGCTTCCCGCTATGTGGTCACAGCCATGCCCCGCTTCCGTCCACTCTGCACCCTCTGCCCACTTCGCACCCTCTGCCCATCTCTGCACCTTCTGGCCACTTCTGGTTGCCCTTGACACCTCTGGTCAGGTCAACACTCCCACTCCCCTCTGTACCTCTGTTGGCCTTCATGCTGTCCTTGTGTGACAGTGCTGGCAGATCAACTTCTGTTCGCGGACTTGTGTCGGCACCGCACCGACCCCGCTTATTTGCGGACTTGTATCGGCGCCGCGCGCTGACCTCCGCTTTTCCTCTGGCCATTTGTCACTTGGCAGCTTATCATTCATTCCTTGCCGAGTGCCATTTATTGTTTGCTTCCCTGCCAATATCGGCATTTGATCCCCTCTTTATTGGCACTAGGTTATTGATCTCATTCAGTTATTCATCAATAACCCTTGCCACTTATTGTTTAGTGATCTGTTCCTCCTTTCCAGTTCCCGGGCTCTTGTCCTTATTTAGTTTGACAATCCCCGCTTATCTCCGCGCCGGACCATGCCGGACTGACCGGCCTTTCTATATTCCCTCTTGCCTATTTATATACCTTGTAAATACTTTTGGGGACCTCAGTCTGAAATCAACTAGAGTACCCCCCCTGTCTGTTCTGAGTCTCTCCTTCTGCAAAGGGGGCTTCCCCCCCTCTGAGTCCGTGCTCGCGGAGTCCGTGCTCCTCCTATAGGTCCGCTCCGCCCGCAAGTCTTGTTTGAAGTCCGCTGTGAGTGTCAATCCGTAAATACGGGATCTCCCCCAAACGTCAAGCTCAGGGCACAGCGCTCCACCTGAGTCGCTGAGGCCGCGATCCCACTCTGCTAACCTTGAACAGCGCTTCCGGACGCGCCGCATATTTCCGCCCGCATATCCGCGCGTGCGCGCTCCAACAGACCTCTGCCACAATCTCCGACACCGACAATATCCCAGCCTCTGACAATAATCCCGACTCTGACAAGATGCTACTTTGTGAACAAAACTTGAGCTCAAGCAATGAAAGGAACTCACATTTCGTATTCTTTCACATATTCAACAATGTCTTGTTCAAGCTCATCTAGACCTTGTTCTGTAAAAGAATACTGGACAGTATGTTTAAGGATCGAGTTGAATTTTTTGAAGTGCCTGTAATACTTGGGATGGTTGAATCAATTTCTGAGAACATAGGGTGCTATGTGAATCATCCAGAAGCCCAATCCTCAGCTGTGAAGAGGTTCTTTTCTGTCCAGATGTTGGGGGTATGACATCCAAAAGACAAAGGTATTGTGTTGCCAGCTAGAGCAGTTTCCAGTCTGATTCTTTCCCAGACATTGTCTGGAATATGGTAGCTTTCACTTCCTTTGTCCAAGCCTTTATATTTGCCTTGCCACAGTGCAACCAAGTTTTTTGAGTGGTTTCCTAAATAGAGGTGCATCCAGTCACAGGGGAAAGAGTGGAAGATTGAAACAGATGGGAGCTCCATGAGTACACTGCTCCCATTGATGCCAGATTGCTGTTGGATCTTATTAAGCTTCGATTTTATGCCTCTAGCACTGCCTTGAAGGGAATTGATCATTGAGAGGGTGTCGGACTCAGAACAGAGCAGATGACCTGGCACATCCCAGTATGTATCACGGGTTTGCAGCTGATCACAAGGAGGTGTGTGAGGGATGTAGTAAGTTGTCCCACCATCAAGGTTCCTTACACCCATAATATGGCAAACTGGGCAAGGAGAGATGCCATTAGGGCCTTTAAAGTTCATTAAGTGCTTCATAGCAATCATGTCACCATGGAAAGAAATTGGGTAAGCATGCAGCTTGAAAGTCTCATCAGAAGCTACATCCAATGCCCATTCTCCTAGAGCTAGTTTCTTGCAGTCATCAACAAGTGGTCGTAGGAAGGAATTGAAGTCCTTCGGCACTTTTGGTCCTGGAATTATTGCAAGAGGAATGATATTTGAAAGGTACATTCCTTAGGTGGCAGGTTGAAGTTGATTGCAATAATAGGCCAGCAAGTTGCACTTGTCGGAAAAGTTACAAATCCGCAACATCACGTGATATCCGTTGCGACGCGTTGCAATGCATTGCAATGCATCTCAATGTTTGGGCACCCTGTTACAATGGGACTTCAAATCCATTTTGCATGGTATAAATGGCACTTATACTGTATGCCAACAAACACCCAATGTGCTGCATAAGTATTTTTAGTCCGGATGTGTAATGAAAATAAGCTATATGCGCGGTCTCAGTCTCAAGTAAGAGAACTGATTCATTGTTCCTTTACCTATACATATGTGCAGTCTGTAAATACAATAAGAACTTGCATACAAGTAGGGCTCCTAGTGGATCAGATGACACTCAGATATCTGCAGATTTATCCGAAAATTTGCGGATCCGGATTTGGCTTTTGAGAGGATAATATCCGCGGTTTCTAATCTGCAGATAGGTGGATTATCTGTGGATAAAATATATCCCACTTTCCTAGATACCCCTCCCATGTTTCCATATTTTTTCCAAGTCCTATCTAACCACTCAGACCTGTTATTTCCAAATTTGGCATCTGACACCCTCTTTTGTGCCATTTTCCCCATATCCCTGTCAGTTCTTCACCAATATGGACATATTTGGTATTGTTAGAAAGCTCTCATCAGGGTCATTCTAACAAAATACAATTTTGGAACATATTATCAATAATCTGCAGTTGATCTGCATATCTGTGGATTTCTAACTGCTGGATACTGTCTGTTAGAACCGGGCAGAAACAGACGACTCCGGAGTGGAATCGGAGACTTAGCGTGGAGGGACCTTGGCCTCAGCGACTCAAGCGGAGCGCTGTGCCATTGCTGTTTGTCCATTTGGTCCTTAATTTCACAGTAGGTGAGCAGGAAGTCTCTAGGGGGCATTTCAGGTCGATTTCGGACTAAACCAAAACGAGTATGTACAAGCGCCGATATATAATGGAAGGGGCAAAAGCACAAGGAAAACAAAGGGTAACCGAATCGGAACGAAGACGTCCGAATGGGAACAAAGGGTAGAAGGAGCGGAGCGGTACCGAAGGTCATAAGGCAGGACCTGTGATACGTCCGAAAGGAGGTAGGGAGGGCGAGGCCCAGAGGGGCAGGAGGATGAGGGGAAGTGGGGATGATGACTAACTGGCTAGAATAGGAGGAAGCAGTAGTCCAAATAGGGATGAGGGGAAAACGTGAGAAATACATTACAAGCGGCGAGAGTGCCGAAGGCGATCCGCGAAGCTCGGGGGTTGCGGAGCTTACGGAGGTTACGGAGGCAGGGTTGAAAGTCCGAGGGATATTGGCAATGGTGTTTACGTAGTATGAGGTCACCAATGCAATGGACTAAGACCAAGGTGGAGTCAAAGTCCGAGGTAGGGACTATGACGGAGGCTCGGAGCAAGGTACGAGCAGTGTCCAAGTGCGAAGTACAGGACAGCAGTGGAAGGTCGTAACTTGGCGGAAGGGTGGCGGAGGAGTAACAGAGGGAGGAGAGAGGGGAAAGGTAAGGGAGAAGGAGTGGCAGAAAGGAGAGTAGTCAGGTCCGAAGGTGAGTATCGGAGCGGACGGGGGAAGCGTAGGAGGATGACGGGAGGGTGGAGGTGTTGTGAAGGGGGAGCGGAGTAGTAGGAGGGTGGCGAGAGGGGCGGTGTTCGGTCCGAGGTGAGTATCGGAGCGGACGGAGATAGGGTCGGAGAGGTAAGGAGGAGGTGTGTTGCCAGGACCGAAGGTGAGTATCGGAACGGCAGCGGTAGGTTATGACTCCGGAGGTGAAGAGGGTGGAGGTCCGGAAGTCGGGTCAGGGTCGGGTATGCATGGATATGACAGTCAAAGACTGGATTCGAAGTGGGAAAGATGACTCAGTGTTTCAGAGGGCTGCAGCCTCAGCGACTCAGGCCAGGACCACTGTGCCCAGTAACATGTTGGGGCCCTAATTTGTGAACGGAAGAGTCTACTAGAAAAGGGGGAAACTTTGGTTGATTATTGACTAGGGTTTCCGGTATCTACAGGTATGGTATATATAGATACATGGGAAGTCTAGGTGGCAGGCCCATAAATGGCAGGGGCTGGGTGGAGCTGACATAACAGGGTCAAGGGTTAGTCAACTGAATATTACTGGCAACTTGGGTTACGGGTTTAATGGATAACAACCCAAAAGGAGAATGGAGGCAGAGGTGATGGAAGGTGGTGGTGGAGGATGAATATGACAGATACAGTTTTTGTTTCATACCTCTAAAAATCTGTGGATTCTGATCCAGATCTGGACTGATCCGATCCGCTAGGAGCCCTAGTCACAGGTGATCTTTATGTGCTAGTATGGTACTTCCCACATGCATATGTGCAGCTGGCCTAGGGTCCAGGGTTGTTGCCAATCCCTGACAGCCTGTTTCTGTTAGCTACTGATCTGGGGGTCAGTGCAAAGGGTGGCTGATGCAGGCCAAGGCTGTGTGTCAGAATTGTGCAAAGTCTCGCTGATAGTAGCTATCGGTGACCGTACATAGCTGCTAGTAATAAAGGCTTCCTGTTCACAGCTGAGCTTTAGTGAGGATCAACCTCACTGATCTCAGAGGTTGCTAGGTGAGTGGGCTGGGATTTTGGCTTCAACAACTCAGGGAGGAGCCTTGTGCCTTGTTCTTGATGCGGTCCCGATACTTCAGATGGCAGAGGTCTTACAGGGGACAGAAGCAAGCTAGGGGGGATGTTCTAGTTGATTTCGAACTACTGTACAAGCAATGGGTACAAGCTGTTTATAAGTGCTAAAGAACTGAATAGAAAATAAGTTGCCAGATCTCGTGGAGATTGCGGGTGGAGAAAAGAAAAGGAAAACACACAAATAAGCACATGGTCAAGACAGCAAAGGTTAACTGTGACCTTTGCTGCAAGATAGAAGGGTGTGGTGAAACATGGAACAAGAGGGTGCAGCGCTAGATCATTCAACGACAATTAGGGGAGGGAACGTCAAGACATGGTGGGGAGTAGTTGGATGGTGATGGGTGGTGAGTGGAGTGTGTGGGGAGTGTTCAGGCATGGGAAAAGGTTGGGGAGGAGGTTGTCTGACCCTGGGGAACACCAGGTTGTGACACTGTGCGAGGCTAGACTGTTGAAAAACAAGGTTACACCAGCAAGAGATTGTGATGGAAGTAGACTGCTAAGTCTATTAACCTGATGTAAACAACAGTAAATACATGATTCAAGCTCAACTTTTAACATAGATGCAACAGGCTGAGGATGCTGGAGGTGAGGGGACAAGGCCCAAGGGTAGGGCCTTTGGCCTCAGTGACTCTAAAGGAGTGCTGTGCCCCTATGTTACGGATATAGAGTCTCCAATGACCATATCCATCACATTGTCAAAGACCTCCCCTTTCTATCACTCACTCTCTCGCTCGCTTGCTTTCCTGATACCCTACTATCCTCTCCCATCCTATTCCATTCCCCCCCCTTGTGAAAAGCTTTCCCCATCAGGGTTTTGGTGCTGGCCAAGGTTGTTGCATTTTGCGGGATTTCCTGCAACCATTCCATTTGTAGACAGTCACACATCATGTATGGAAACTGCTGGAGTGTAAGGGAGATAGGCCACATACTCGTGGCCCTCCCTATTCATTCCTTATTTATCATGTCAGGTTTGTACCCAGTGCAATACCTTCATTTTACCATGCAGTCCCAAGCCGCACTAATCACATGTAATTACATTATGTATATATAACCTACATGAGAGGGGATAAAGGCTTCCCGAGCCTTTTACCCCCCCCATTGATAAATACAGCTTCATACAGCATACTTCAATGGACTGGGAGTGTGAGGCAACACTTGACTATCGTGAGATCACTTGCGAACTCAACCTTAACTATGCTTACATGGAGGCAGTTCCTGCTAACTACCATGACTTGCTACAAACTACCTTGTGCATTGTCTCTTGTAACAACCCCTTCTGTGACTCAGCTGAACATGTGTGTGTGTGTGTGTACAACCTTCAATATGTTCTATATGCCTGGTTATGTCAAGTCATCTGGTGGTTCCCACTGCGAGGACTCAAAGTCGCAAGTTGAAGCCTCATGACTTGTGTATCATTCACTGGAACCCATGTCCCACAGGATGTCATCGCCTAGCTCTCCCTCCAGTGTTTGATGGACAATGTCATATTATGGTATTCAGGATCGCGACTGCTCTGAGACTCATATTCCTGTGATGCTGGCACGCTCATTGCACAAGCACCAAGTAGCTGCCCATCAACCATCTGGTCCCTCCCTTGTCAGTCATTGTACCTCACCACCAATGGTACGTTCCCTTTGGGAACGCCAAGTCACTGAAGGCCCCACTAGCCGTTCCTTACTGGGCTCTCATGATTATAACCTGCCACCAGTACGTTCGTACTACGAACGCCAAGTAACCAATAGCAATGATACAGGATCTTCACACAACGTACAAGTTGCAACTGTGCACACAGTATGCTCCCCTGAGGAGTGCCAAGTACCCGTGGCCAACCTATCTATCCTGGCATCTCCGACTACATGTAATCAAACCCTTAATAGCTCATTCCATTGTGAACCATGATCAATGGGGATTTGATCATCTACTCTCATACACGACTGGGACCTCCCATCGATTACACATCCCGTTAAGGTACAAACAAGATCTTGTGATTGTCTTTCAGCGACAAGAATGGTTTGAGAAGGGAGAAGTTCTCCCCATCCTCGTAACACCCTAGTTGTCCCTTGGCCCTCATTTCACATTAGTTTGGGTTGCCTTGTCAGGGGGACAGACTGGAGGTCAAGATCTAGTTGATATTAGAATTAATCTACATAGCCTACATCTTCAAAAATGCTTCATCCGAATGAATATGTCACCATCAATGAGGTCATTGACAAAAAATGTGCTTGCTGCAGTGCCAGAGTCAGAGAATGTGGGAACCATTAACACTCCATGGATGACAGATTCCAATGAAATGATGGCAGAGGAACCTTCTTCACTGAGTTTGAATCGCCTGAAACCTGCAGCTCTATCTGAAGGTGGGCAGGAACTTGGGGGGACAGGGACATAGTAGCGAATGAGGGCAAGTTGGACCTTACCAATGTTACTTGAAGGTGTGATGGAAAACATCAGGACCAGCCAAGCAAAAGATGGCCCACCAATTGTGTCCACCATTATGGAATCATAACGGGCTTGCCCATGGAAATCTGGATGGGTCCGGAGTAGGTCACGATTGGTATACCAGTGAACTTGTGACTCATATGCAACTTCAAGCAAGCGGTACTCTGTGATCTATGGAATGAATCAGTATTAGGCCATCAAAAATGGATGGAAATTACATTCTCAGCACTAGGAACTATGGTTGTCAGCCCATACACTGTTTCAAGGAAATGGAGTGTCTTCTGCCGGAAATCCTTGAAGGTGGCAGGCTGCACCATGCTTTGTTCCTGTTCAACCATGGCAAGAGTGAGGCCATAGAGGCGTTTGCATGGGCTGCGTAATTTAATATGAACAACCTCATTGTTCTCATCTATCTCCTCAGGGTGGTGGTCTTCATGGGACTCCATGTGCATCTGCTGCTGAGCATCATACTCTTCTGCGTGCTCAACATTCCGCCTCACTAATTTTAGGACTGCCTTATGTTGGTCCTTGAGTACAATCTGGATCCAAAATAACATAAGTAACCCAAGATATTGCTAGAAACTTTACATACATGCTTGTTGACATTTTTTTGTTACTTGACAGATATACCTGCCGGTATTCCCCATGATGTTTTTCACCTGGTTTGGTACTGACATGGATGAGGGCACCTTTCTGGCATACATCATCAAATGCATGGGATACAGCATGGGCTTTGGGGAAGGACCAAGATTTCTGCCCATTGGGTAACAGTGACTTAGTGTATGCCTTTTTTATTGTCCCCACTAGTGTTTCAGGGATGATAAATGGCTAACAAGAGTGAGACTTGTTGTCAGGTGTGTTTGAGCTGAGTTCATACCTGTTTCATTGCATCTTCAAGCTGCTGCACAACTTGATGGCCCCACTCAAGAGTTTCATCAGTATGCACCTCAAGAGAAATAAGGACTGAGAACTCTGCAAGAGTGCGAATAAGTGTCGAAAGGGGATATAGTGCTTCATTCAAATCATGGAGCCCATGCAGAACAACCTGACACCATATTAGCCTGGCATAATATTAGGATAATACTTCCTCACCTTGAGAAGGTGACTATATTTTGTGCCATCTGAGAATGACATTGAAAGGCAGTGTTTAAAGTGGTTCAATTCTGGCCACCGTGGAATCTCTGATATCCTAAAATTCCTGATTTTAGTGACTTGCAGTTATCATCCATTTGAGAGGCTCACCGCTGCTCAAATTTTGCTCTAATAAACTTTGGATATCCTTCAATGATTCCTTGGCATAATGGCCAAATGTGGTCACCCCAGAGGCCTAAATCATTGAAGTGAAGTTTATCATATGAAACCATTGCATGAGGATCACTCCCTAGAGCCCAGAAAGCATTCTAGACTCAGTTTATTAGGGAAAAAACAATTCAGGATAATTTTGAGTCATATGGGAACCCCAGCCAAGCCAGCACTTGAGAGGATTTCAGTTGCCCTTTTCTTTGTGGAGGCAGACATTGCAGATTGGAATGTTGAGTGACTGTCTTCTGATGTCCGGACAGGCCATTTGACTGTCAGGGAGGATAATTTACTTGTGTGAACCTTGCAGCGGGGACAAGGATAATTTGCATTTGGCCCCAATGTGCCTGTCAACATGGTTCTAAACAAATGGAGTACCCTCAATATATTAGCTTCAATTGTAATTGTGGGGTGTCACTCACTGCTCCTCCCCATCAGCAGCAGCATCCTTCAGGTAAAAATAAATATGACGCATCTTCCCATCACCACACTGGAGCCGGGTCCCAAACTGACTGGGTTTTTTGAGAGATTCAAACACCTCAGCAAGGCTGCAATGGACCAGGTTCCGGCGATATGTTGCAAAGTCAAATTTATCTTCTGCTCTTTCCTCAACCTGGAAGGATACAATTAGAGCCAAAAAAAAGACATTTATATATACTCTACATGAGGAAGGAGTCCAATTAAGTGGCCACCTCCAAATCCAATTGTGTTCCTGATATTGCTGTGGACATTGAGAACACGCAAGATGACTGGATATGCCTTGACTGTCCCAAAGCTGGACAGTTGGGATTTGTCAGAATACACTGAAAGTGCAAGCAACACTGAAGGCGTTCCATCATCCTGTTCTGGGAGATCATTCTACCAGGGAATGGTTATTGCAAGATAATTGCCAACAATAAGAAGCATACTGTGATGTCCCAAAATTCATTAGCAGTCCAGGGCTGACTAATAAATCGCATCCAACCTCCACCTGTTGACTTGTATGTCTTCTGGGGTATCCACTCTACTTCATGGATGTATAGTGGATCACAAAGTAGGTCAGTTAGGTACTGATGCACATTTTTGCGAAAGAGGACATGAGGCCGAATTTCAGAGTTCTCATCTGATGGAGCAACTGAGACCATCACAGTACACTCCTCAAACTAGGATCACATCAGCTGTGAGAAATATAGGTTTGGAATGGGGCGCACATTTGTAAGAAGCTCTGCAGCTTTGTTGAGCGTTTTTTCAAATTCTTTATGAGTGGTAAAGGTGATGGCTGGCTGGGGACTTTGCATATGGATTTTAATGTGTGATTCTATTGAGTGAATTGAGCAGTTATCCCCAGTCACCAGCTCTGCAAATTCAAAGTCTGCCTTGGTCACAAAGGGTGCCCAAGGATTTGAAAATGGGTTGGTATTTGGAGTAGTCTTTGCATCAAAGTGTGATGTTCCCATTTCAAATGGGGCTATCTTTGGTGCAATGCCAGAACTGTGGTGAAACTCAATTTTTAGTGACTGTGAAGGAGCCTCTGCTCATAATTGTCATGAGAGTGTAGTGATGGGAATACCATGGCACAGCATACCTTGAGCTACCAGTTCTAATGATCCTATGGCTCTGAAGGTGATGCATCTTCTAATGGTCCCAATGGTTCTGAAGACACATCTTCCAGAGTGTTTGATCCTACAACTGTTTGTACTGAGCAACCCAGGTGAGCAAAGCACTAGAAGTCATGTTGAACCAACACACCTGGGATACCAGCAATTGGTGTTGTACTCATTTCAGATGGCCCAGCTTGTCCCTCAATTAGGCGATTCCTTGTATTTGCCATCTTCTTCCCCATGTGTTTCATTACCATTTTCTCCTCACAAGCAGTTACATGTTTCTTCCAGCCCCGAGGGTCAAATTTTTTTTTGGTCACTGAGCAGTAGAGGTTGGTGTGGTCGTGTATGGATGATGACATATTGACAGATAAGATGTGTGTTTCTTTGTGATGGTGTTGTCCAGTTGATGTCAAAGGTGGGGATTTGACCTCTTCCTACACACCCTTAAATACATAATAGAGACACAGCACAGCTACCTAAACTGTATAGCTGGGGGAATTGGATCAAGGATTGTAACTAGATCACAGGAATGATCATCAGATCAGTGCACAGCATGGCCATCAGAACAGATCATAGGAATGATCATCAGATCAAACACAGCATGGCTATGGCTCCTAGCAGATCAGAATCCATGGATTTTTAGAGGTTTGAAACAAAATCTGTATCCAGTGGTTAGAAATCCACATTGGAGGCAGCATACACACATTTCCTATTTTTCCTCATTTTTCTGATTCCATTTCCGATGTCTAGAGGCCGATGTTTCCATTTTCTTATTGTCATGTGATATTCTTTCCTATTTTGTCTATCGGACTCTTCCGTGACCCGCTGTACAGCTAGAGAGTATCAGCACCAGACTCAACTGGACCAATATACCCCACTTCAGACCTGACTTGTAGTGAGATCCTTATCCCCCCCTCTTTCCTGTCACAAGTCTAGTTGGATAGACCCATTACAACATACGGTCACTGACAGCTATCATTGGCGAGACTTCATGCAATTCTGACACTCTCCCTCTTTTCAAATCCACATCTCTGATACAGGTCCCCAGCACCACTATACTGGGACACCTTCCCCCTTGGACCTGTCCCTGACTATCTCCTGACATAGTCATGAGCTTGGAATGATCATATACATGCACACAAAAGATTGGAGCAAACACAGATATCACAAACACAAACACAAACTTTACAGACATAAACAAACAAAGGTTTCCTTATGAAAGAAGGCTATTCATTACCAGTTCCTGCACTCTGGCCTCTACGGCCTCCACGGCCCCTGACACCACCTCGCCTCTGACCTCTCCTCCTATGACTGTGCCCACGCCTTGTCACACCCCCCTCATCCAATCCAACTCCAGAGCTTTCCACAACTTCAGTCTGGGGATCCGGATCCTGGCTCTCTGCAAGGGTGTCAGCACCAATACATATATATATATTTGGATGAACACACGAGGCATCTCAGAAGGAGCACTGGGTGGCACTTGGTCTGCTTCCTATGGCAAATTCTTAGCATTCACATAATATGAAACTCCCTATATTGAAAATCTCACAGGGGATTCAGCTGGTGGGCCCACCTCACTGTCATTAAGATCCATTTCAGCAAGAAGGGCATTCAGGCCCACAGAGATGCTCCCAGCTTCCGTCAACGCATTTGGTTCTTCCCCTACAGAAGAACCAAACAACAAATACTGGAACCAATGAATGGTTTCATGCATTGGACGGGTCATGGCAGTTTCTTCTCGTTTAAGCACCATGTGGATGAACTTATAGAAGTTCAGAAGAATCTCAAGGTAGTTCGTTCGGCTTGGTTTCCCATGACCAGATACCATTTCTGTGTCACCAGACAATATGAAATAGACCTGTTTTCAGAATGATTGGTCAGTGTAAGATAGTCAAGCAAAATTTTAGTGGTTCCACACCAGCATCGAAACAATGGCAACAGTGCCAGGGGTTATACTGGTTATGTTATACATGATACCCAATGCCTTTGGTGATGCACGCAGTTTTGCCGGTTCCCAATCCTCCAGCGAAGGAGACCCTGGAAGTGGAATAGCAGACACCACATCATTGAGTGCAGAAGGACCAAATATAATGACAATAATTGCCTTATTGTATCAATGTCAGTGTAATAGTTAGCATAAGCACAAGCAAAGTGCTCACAGCTGCAACTACTTGTGAACGAAATACATGCTGGCGATGAGATCGATCACTATCTGGGAATAAAAATAAGGGTAAATGATCCATAGGGTTGGTGGAACCCAAAATCATTCCCAGAAATTCTTGACGTTCTTCAGCTGTTGGACCATGCCCTGATTTCAGCACAGATGGACTTAAATCCTTTCCAAACAACTGGTAGCTTGATTTGCGCAAGCGGTCCAACATTTGGCGCCTCCATGCCCCAACATCAGCAACAAACTAGTTGCATGGAAAGTGTTTAATTAGAGGAAGTTGTAAGGAAGGTCATTAGGATGTCACATACCTTAGCCAACCAAGGGATAGCTCCGGAATCAGTATGGAGCTCCTTTGTCAATATTGGGTATCTCAATTCAAGAATTTTGTGGACACAAAATTGATTGAAATTGTCTTCGGATGAAAATGTTTTCTCGGCTGTCCAAGAATGGAAATCACCACTAAGTTCCGCTTGGATGGACTTTTTGGACAAAAATGGTGAATGGAGCAATGCATAAAGAGCTGCATGCTTCTTAATCGCAGCCTCAATGCTCTTGATGGTGGATGCATCACCAGGGAGAGCCTCATCAGTATCAGTCCCATCATCAGCTTCATTAGTAGTATCGGGGCTGATGGGAGTCTGATCAGCGAGTGTCAGTACCGGTCCGGAGCTTGATGGTGTCTGGAAATCATGCAATCGGAAGGCAGTAAAGCGCGGACTTGGTGAGGTAGACATTGTGGGCAGTGGTAAGAGAAGGTTTATCAGAGGTGGTCGTAAGATCGAAAGAAAGCAGTATTTCAAATTTACATGTGTTTATTTAAAGTTGCGTAGATAAAATCTGAAAAGGTCCGATGCCAGATAAACAAGAGGACCCATGGCAAATGGTACAAGTTGCCTGTTGGCTTACAGGACTCCAGCCTCTATGACTTCGTAATATTATACTTAGACCCATCGGTAGACGATATCCCATCATTTCACGTGACTGATCGGCAGCGAAGCGCTGGCGAACGTCGTCTCAAAACCAAGTGGACTCAATGCTGGAACATTGGCCCCATGAAATCACCTCCCCACTCTGCGCGCGCCCCCTCAGACACTCACATCCCAGCCTCGCAAGCCCGAAGTGCCGGGCCTTTAGGTTCCCGCATTGCGCAGTAATTGCGCAGTAAAGAAGTTGGTCCTTCCCCAGCAAACGATCGAGAACGCCATCCAGGGCGATGCGGCCTCTGGGAACTCTGGCCCTACCCAGTCCCAGGCACTTGGGCTCGATGTGGATAATCCTGTCGAACCAGGATCCCGCGCGCACACGTCAATCTTTTACGCTTTTGATAGTCACAGACGCTGAGGTATGTCAAGTATTGCAGATTACTTTTCGTCCTTATGCTCATTTTAACTTATTAGTCTTGTCTAGGGATTTTTTGGGGCTTTCTTAATACACCCAAAGTCCTGTCAATGAATATACTACCCTCGGATCTGATTTGACTGCCGACATTTGGCAAGTACGACTAACGCTGTTCGTTGGTGGTATCTGACTTTCTTTCCATAGCTACCCCAAGATCGCTTGCTAACGGCGCTTGGGCAAACAGTTATCAACATCGTAAACGAGGTCGGCGTTGACATGAATCGTGCCGTGACCGACGGATGTTATTACCCTTCGTCGCCGGTCTCCATCTCGGCTATGTGAGTTCGCTCACACAACTACTTCAACACCTCCACCCCTCGCTGCCATTCCCCAGCCCCCATAGCTGCTCCTGCAGCTATCCTTCTCAGTGAGTCGCTCTCCATTTGTTAAATACTATGTTTCACTTTTGTTTGTTTTTGGTTTTTTTTTTGGTGATGTTCAACTTTCCACCCCTCTCCCTAAACCTCAGCTTCGCGCACCACCATATCTCCCCCTCCCTTTTTTTTTGTGTTCGCTGAACACTCACATTCTTTCTTTATTGCGTGCCCACTAAGCATTTCGGCTCTGTACTTTACAATCCAGTTATATACATTAATAGTATGTTCGGTTTCAGCCTGCTTTGTCCGTTACGGATAATAGTAAATTATACGAGTGGGTTTTGTTATGCATCGATCATTGTGTAACAATTCATATAAAACCCGAGGGTCTACCTCATATTCCTGGGCTCGCTGGCCGAGTGGTAGGGTTGTACTGTATCGCTATAGACTGTATTAGTATATTCAATATAATAAATATATATATGGTATGTATCCGTATGTTCGTGGTATATGAGGTTGTCGGTTCAAACCCCGAGGGAGTGCAAATAGGTTCATTTCTTTTTGGGCTATTGCTGTGGTCACGTTGCAATGCATTGAAACTCAATAAGTTGCGTTGCAATGCATTTGAACTCAATGGGTCACGTTGCAATGCATTTGAACTCAATGAGTCATGCTACAATACATTTAAACTCAATGGGTCCTGTTGCAACGCAGGGCTGGCTGTTGCAACACTAAGTAATCAACGCAAGACTTGCATTGCCACCATCCCGTTTTGGCCATTGTATTGTGTTGCATTGAGTTACAATGTATTGACACGGATTTGTATTTTTTCGGACACTACCATCATGCTGGTGTTTGAATATCTGGAACTCATCTGTCATGATCCCCAGGGCAATGTCTCGAGGGTCACTGAAGAAGCAGTGCAGATATTGCTGCCCATCTATCTGCACCTGTTGTTGCAGTAGACCAAGATAGTGTCAGGGCACACCCACCTGACCCCACTCCACCCAGTCCGACCCCACCCAATCCCACTATCCTCACCTGCTGCCCCCATCCTCCCTCCTCCTTTCTCTCCTTCTTCCTTTCCCTTTCCCTTCTCCTTCTTCTTTCCTTTCTTTCCTTTTCTACTACATGGACGACTTCCTTGCTCGATGTACCATTAACCAGGCTGTGCAACACGCCCGGACCCGGACACACCGGGTGATGCCCTACACACCAGACGCTCCTGAGACCTCTTATGGAGATACCCAGGCGGACACAGCTGTGCGCGTAGATGACGTGGTGCTCCCCACATGACCTCCAACTGCATGTACATAAACACAGCCTAAGTGGGAACTGAGAAGTAACCTTCTTCTCACACTTCCCACTTTAGGCAAGTAGCTTACATTCCCCTGCTAATAATAATAACACACTTCCCACTTTAGTCTAAGTGGCCAGGGACCCTTGCCTGCTTCAGGCCCATTGTTACGCACACCTGCGCCGCACCCTACCGGGCCCTCAGCCCCAGGTGATATACCCAGACACTCTCGACCCCGGGTCGGTCCCTGACAGATAGTGAATTCCGTGGAAGACATCATCAACAGTCTGCATGTTCAAATCAAGAGTCCCATGATAGTTTGAGAGCTCAGCGAAGTATTTGTTGAGATAAAGGGCTTTGAGACGAGGCCCTATTTGGAGATAATGGAAGGTATTGAAGGGAATATGGCTGTTTGGTCTGAAGCGTGGTTGGCTGCAGTATGGACAAGTGTCAAGGTTGGAAAGCTCAGACGAGAAGCAGCAGCAACTGTTGATACAACAGTCATAGGAGTGTTCTAGTACATGAGAGAGCCTGGACATATGAGAGTGGAGTTGATAAAGCAATTTCAATTGCAGTTCTTCAAAATGTGACCAAATAATGTCATATGTCGAGTTGGATATGTTACTGTGGATCAAAACATCAAACATCTTGAGGTTTTGGTAGTCCACATTGGAAAGCGGCTGGTTGTCTAGACGTTGATAGATTTAGCTGATGATAAAAACCAAGGAAATAGGGTGTACAAAATTGGTTATATCGCCATAAAGTCGCATCTGCTTTATGTCTCTTGACAGCTTCCATCCATCCATCCAGAGATGTTTTGTTGACCCCTGAAAACTCTTCTGATTCATCATCACTGCAGGGTCTGGTATTATTCTGGCTGTTGGTGTTCGGAGCAAATGTCAGTGAAGGACCATATTCCAATTGCTAAATGGAAACATATGTAATTTCGCAATCATTATTATAATAAACCTGATCCTCTGACATCTGCTTACGTTCAAAAAAGTTTTCTTCATTTTCCTGTGGTGAATTCCTCATGGCATCAGGGAATTCCTTCACAACGGGGTTGGGAGCAAGCCTCCATCTCTTGTAGTGGTTCTGAGGAATTGGACGATTTAAAAGACATGACCTCTCTGTTTCACGACACCTACAGTCCATGCTACATGAGTGCCTAGGGTTCCAAGGCCCAATCGCTGAGATCCTGTGGCACCCATAAGCCATTATTAGCCCAAGAGTATGATAGAGCCCAGAGAATTCAGGTCTGAAGATTCTATATCTCTCAGAAGGCAGAGATGATCCAGTAATGAAAAATATGTCTGTAGCTGTCAGCTGGCAAAGAGCACAGGGAACATGTTGTTTTGTTTTGTTTGGTCCTGTTGTGGGCGAGAGCAGATTTGACTTCACTCCCAAATCGCTCCACTCCTCATGCCTTGCAGCAAAACCCAAAAATGCACGCTTTCTGGCCTCCAACATGAAAATGAATGGCTTGAGAAGGAGCTAGAAGGTGAGTTCATCCCTGCCTTCACCTCCAAACATGTAGATCTTGAAGCACCTCGCAACTGATCACATTGTCTAGCTATTCAGAAGGACAGTAATGCGTGTAAGGCATAGTACTATTGGGGTATTAACTAACCTAATGTGTTGTTGTGTCCTTAGTACACCAGAAACGCGTCCAAGAGCAGGTATCATGGCCAATGGGTTGTGCAGATCGTCTTCATGGTGGGTTCTCCCTGACCAAGGCAATGGGGATTATGAAGGACAAAATGAATCTTGTGAGAGTGAGTACTGATGCCTTTATTTTTACACGATCCCCTATGTTGACAAACCCCTGTAAGGAATCTGTCCGATCCTCTTTGCATGCAAATCTCGGGGGGCCATTCAAGAATGGCACAGTGAAATATGATTCCATTGACCTTGAAGTACTTGGGTTGATCAGAAATGATGTGAGCATATCGTATCACTCTCAACACTGTTATACGCTAATTTTTGGCATCATGTAGATCATCAAAGAACATCCATGGATTAAATCAGACTACGAAGGAGCCTGGCCTGTTCAGGCCCTAATTAAGATGGCAATAGAGAACTGCAAGACAGTTATTCAATGCAACAGGCAGAAAAAAGGTAATGTTTTTCCTCAGTCTCTGAACCATGATTCCACTCTACCATACAGGCAAAAGCATCAAACAGACCCCAAGACCAGTGAACGCAACTCTGCATCGCTCTTCAAATAGAAGGGGGATCAGTACTGAAACAACAAGTGGCACCAAGCTGAAAGACAACCACGTTGAATTAGAAGACAATGTTGATTCAGATGATGAAGCCAACGAGTTAGAAGATCATGCAAACTCAGATGAAGATCACACCAAACCAGATGATGACCACACCGAGCCTGACAATGACAATTCTGATGGCAATTCCAAGGACGTAGGCAGTCGCTGGAGTGGGGGGACCCCTCAAAAGACACAAAGGAATGGTGAGGATTTTAATCATAGATATTTCCCACTGGCACATGTGTCACATCTTTCCCAATCACATAGCGACAAGGACAAGGCAGTCTCTGTCCACTGTCCACACTCAAGTCAACCATCCAATCAAAGGTAGGCTGTTGGCCAATCAAGGTACTCAAGCCTTCTGTACTGAAACTTCTGTCTAGAAACAAAGGTTGCCAAAAGGATTTGCTTGCTTGTGACCTCTGAGGATAACTACACCAACGATCCTATTACTGATGAAGGTGAGCAGAATTACCCTGTTCTCAATTTAATCCTGCTCCCTGCAATCACATAGACTTCATCCAGCCCCTTAAGCGTAAGTGTGATATTGGCCTTTCCCTTAGATATAGCTAACATTGGCTCCACTGATGTGGATAGGTCATTCTCATCCCAGTCACAACAACAATGATCATATAAGCAGTGATGATACTGGTGCTTCCATGCCCATTGCTCAAGCTAAAAGTATTTGCTTAATCTTGTCATCAACTGTAGCATAGTTAACTAACACTCATAATAGTGCCACAACCAAAACACAAGTAATTTCCTTGCCCACTCTTTCAGTACACTCATTTTCAAGTAGCTCATGCCCTTCAGAGGAAACTTGCCCCTTTGGATGAGGAGAATGCAGCAGATACCAGTAGAAAACATCAGAGGCTCCGTGACGGGTTGGATGCTAATCAGACTCGCACCAAACCAGGTGAAGGTACTCACTGTCATATCCATACATACCTGATCCCAAACTGACTCCCGGACCCTCATCCTCATCTCCTCCGGAGTCCTACCCTACTGCTGTCCGTTCCGATATTCACCTTCGGACCAGACACCACTCCTCCTCTTACCCCTCATGTCACCTCCACCCTTCCGTCACTCTCCTACCCTACCGCCATCCATTCCGATACTCACCTCAGACCAAACATCACTCCTCTCACCACCCTCCTCCTCTTACTCCTCCTCTTACTCCTCATGACACCTCCACCCTTCCATCACTCCCCTACCCTACTCCCATCCACTCCAATACTCACCTTCAGACCTGACACCATTCCTCTCCTCCACTCCTCTCTTCTCTCTCCTCCCTCTGACCCTCTTCTGCCAAACCTCCACCAAGTTACAACCTTCCACCACTGTCCCTTACCCTGTACTTGGACACCACTCGTGCCTTCACTCCGAGATCCCGTCATAGTTCCGACCTCAGACTTTGACTCCACCTCAGCTTAAGCCCATTGCATTGGTGACCTCATACTACGTAAACACCATTGTCAACATTCCTCAGACTTCCAACCCTGCCTCCATAACCTCCGTAAGCTCTGCAACCTCCAAGCTCCACGGATCATACTCGGCACTTTCGCCACTTGTAATGTACCTCCCATGCTTTTCCCTCATCCTTATTTGGACTGCTGCTTCTCTCCATTCTAGCCAGTTAGTCATCATCCCCACTTCACCTCATCCTCCTGCCCCTCTGGGCTTCACCCTCCCTATCTCCTTTCGGATGTACCACAGGTTCTGACCTATGACCTTCAGTGCCGCTCCGCTTCTGTCATCCCTTTGTTCCCATTCAGACACCTTTGTTCCAATTTGGACCCCCTTTGTTTCCCTTGTGCTCTTGTCTCCCTATTATATACAGGCGCTTGTACATACTCATTTTGGACCTTCAGTCTAAAATTGACCTGAAATGCCCCCCTAGAGACTTCCTGCTCGCCACCTCTGAAATTAAGGACCAAATGGACAAACAGCAATGGCACAGCGCTCTGCATGAGTCACTGAGGCCAAGGTCCCTCCTTGCTAAGTCTCCGGTTCCCCTCCAGAATCGTCCACCCTCGCCCAGTTCTAACACTCACTCACTAACTCAACCCATTGCTCATAAATGATTTCCAGGCACTCTCTACAGCTGCAGTCCAGAGGACAGGACTAGGTGCACAAGCCTGAGGAACTCAGGTCAGCAAGGAGCCAATGTCAAACGAGGCAGAAGTAGATGTGTGAGCCTGAGGAGCTTGGGTCAGAACACTGGCGACAAACATGTTGGAGTTACAATGACGTGTGACTCACTGTCAGGGACGCGTCCGGGGTAGAGGAGGCCCGGGTGAGACGCCCGACACTAGAAGCCTCGCGGGGTGTGGAGCGGGCGTGCGTACTGGCGGGCCCGGCTCAGGAGGCGGTCCCTGGCCACTTAGACTGAAGTGGAAAAGGGTGAGAAGAAGGCTACTTCTTCGGTTCCCACTTCAGGTATGTTTATATACATGCGGCTTAGGTCACATGACGGGTGCCACGTCATCCTCGCATACAGCCGTAGTCACCCGGGTGTCCCCGTGGGGGATCCCGAGGGCGTCCGCTGTGGGCGCGCGAGCTGGACATAGCAGGGGTCGCCCGAGGTGCCCGGGCTGGGCGTGTCGTGAGCGCGCTGCAGGTGGGTCAATGGTACATTGATACAAGGAAAGGTCGTCCGTGTAGAATAAAGAGAAAATAAAGAGAAGGTGAGATAAGTAAAGAGAGAGTGGGATGGAGGAAGAAAGAAAGAAGAAGGGGGGAAGGAGGTAGGGGAAGACTGGGTGGCGGGGTACCGGGTGAAGTGGGGCCGGGTGGGGCCGGGTCAGGCGGGTGTGCCCTGACACTCACTAACCAAACTCACATGATCTTACTTTCGTTTCCATTGTATTGATACCATGACTGCATTGTATATAGGTAATTGTTTGGGTCTATTTTCTTTTTCCCCTCAGTTCTTCATTTATGGAGACTGAGGTCAGTATCATTAGTTTTAGTTACTAGTTACATTACTTACTTGTACTATAGCTTCCGCGTTAGGTTAGTACTAACCGTAGTAATTCAGTTCTTCATTTATGGAGACTGAGCTTCCACGTTAGCCCTCCTATTAAAACAGGGCAGAAGTAGGCATGCGAGCCTGAGGAGCTCAATCCAGAGAGGAGATCATTCGTTGATCCCATTGCATCTGATGTACACTTACTCCAAGTCTTCTAGGTTAATCATGCTTACTGTTTCGCATCGCAGCTTTCACCAGCACCGCATCTTCTTGTCAACTCCTTCTGTCGCATCAGTCCCTCGCACTTCGTTACCTGCCCTCACCGCTGAGAATTGCTGTCGTTGAACCATTCATATCTCCATCATTTCCTTTCACATCTCAAGCCTGAATGTAATATAGATACCGTGCGTGCTGATGTTCCAATCAAATAGTATATTATCCCCGAAGATATACAATTAAGTCCCGAAGCGAAGCAGGATGAGTCCAGCTGCTAGAAAGACACTATCATGAATTTGTACAGGATGAATTGACTAAATCCCTTGCAACACAAGATTTTACGACAGGATTTTGATCAAATTGGTGAAAAAACCCGGATTTATCACATGTAGCAGGCCACGAAAAAATCGTGTTTTGTGGCAAAACTTCCATCTCATATCGTCCATGATTTTATCATGGAATCACTTTCCTCAGTGCGCGGCTTAATTGATAAACGTCAAAGGCAGCAGATATGCGCCCATGCACTGGACACGATGCAAATACAATTGGGTGGTAGATTTTTCCTATTTTGGAAACGGGTCATCGCTATCGAAGCGAGGTTGAAGCAGGTGCCCACGACGCAAGTTGTCCTCTTGGAATAGGGCACCGTCCCTCGAAGTTGATATCTCTACGATAAAGTATTTGGCCGGGGTCAGTATTTCCGTGGCAGAAGGGTAAGAGTAGCCTGGGTGGGCACGGACCACCATCAAACGTTATGAACAAAGTTCAAAAGACGTGCGATACTTCCACAGAAACAATCTACGGAGCCAGCAGCTTATTTCTTAACTTGCCCAAGTCCAACGTGCGGGAGCGTTTTGTCAGGCAGATATTCAACGTACGTGGGAAATAGGTCCTATCATTGTTATTTGTCGATTCAGCTAGTCATCCTGCGACATCAGTTATTGGATACACGCGATCCAGTTACATCTTAAACTGAAGTGATGGCTTCAGATTGACAGGTAGGATGAGCGCGACAGCAGTAGGCTCGAGGCGCTGATCGATCCGGACGGTCGCGGCTCATCCGAGCTACTCGGCGAAAGGATGGGGTGGCAGCAGACAGGCCTGCCAAGTGAGTGCAAACCCAGCCAATTGGTTGGATATTATCTAACTCCGTTCCCGGACACCAAAATTTCCCGTGCTCTAAATAAATTTGTCCCACGGCCGTGAGTGTTGGGTGAGCCCACAAAAATATACATTGAGAACATAACTTATGGACGCCACCTATTGCGGCAAGTACCCGCTTACTCTTCCTCGTTGGGGAGGTTTAGGATTGTCGATTATTTGGGCCCTCGACGAAAAATACAAAACGGTACGAGGATATCGGACTCCTTTCAGGGTCACCTGCGGAACATAAATCGTAGATCAAGGACAAGAGACGGACTTAGATTAAAGGGAAGCGTGCTCGGAGGAAGGTGCGAGGTGGAAGCCGTGGGATTGGGCTGAGTTCGGAGGTCTTCAAGACCTTTGGATGACGATAGAAGTCCCGGGAGAAGGGAAATGATTGTACCGTGAAAAGAAGTTATTTGCAGTTTTAGGGAGTGACAGGGATTTCCACATTTCCGAGTCGGAATCCAAACCATAGAAGATCCAAGAGCTATCAGGAAACATAGACTATAGCCACATATCACGCATAGCCTGCCTCATTTGGAGTCCAACATGGCATCTCCTTCGCGAGTGGCGATATGGACTTCAGGTGGATACGAGAACTAGAAGTAGAGTCTTCATTCACGTGTCGATCGAGTGATGCCGAAGGAGAGTTGAGGCAATGGAAAGATAAGCCGGCGGAAACTCCAGGTCGAATATAGTGGCAACACATGCCCGAGCTCACAAGGTCACCCGCATAGCCCACAACTTCACGAACGGACCCACTGAAAACTCAAGGGGATTAGGAAATAGCCAACATGAAGAATTTCATTATCGAGCATCGATGAACATTCCTGCTTGCACTCTCATCTGAGGCGTCGAGCAACAACGGTAAAAAAAAGGAAGTCAGAATATCGGCACCTGCGGCTTAATTCCTCACTGATTAATCTGGTGGCATGAAACGATAATGGCCAACATAGCTGCCCAGTGAGTGTTACTCTTGATAATGCGTTTTCATGATGTTCGATTTTGCGCTTTCGTTCTGGTATCGTGTCAAGTTCTCAACACATGGATAGCATCTCCACAGGATTATTTCTACTCTGCTTGATTTCTTCAAAACATGACGTCGTCTAGCGGCTGATAGCACGGTCGGGCGCATCCCAGCGCCATTGGGGTGGAGCCGAACAAGGTCGGTATTAAGCTGGGTGCTGGGGGAACAGCGCTTGTGTACGTCCTCCCCATTAAGCCGCCTGTGGCCTTCCTAACATGTTGGACTTGGTTGGCTACATAACTACTATACTGCGCTATAAAGGGCTTCTACCAGGATTGACAGAGGGAAAATCCTTGGGGCGTCGTTGATTTCGACCTTGGCCCAGGCACATTAGTTTTAGCTAGCAACGTCTCCAAACGTACATTCTTCAGAAGTGTCCCACAGCGCCAACCATTAATTAAATAAGAAGGACGTCGCGGGGCTACCATGCATATGGAGTCGATAGTGTTGTACGGCGCACATCTGGCACATGGATGCTTCCGATTACGAACAGGATTGGTCTCCACACAGTGAATACGTTTAAATCTTTCGAGCATACGTCATCAACAAATTCCGACCTCCGTCGTGCACGCGGCTGGATGCTAGGAACTAAGCCCACCGCTAAGAGCCAAGAGGCTAGCCCTTTTCTCTTCATAATTTAGGCGCATAAATTTCACGCATATTAATTCCCCAGCGTCTCTCATTTAATTTGCCCTTTGCCCTCCTTAATGAAATTGATGCCCAGGCGTTCGTCTACGCGGCAGCATTCAAAAGCCCTTCGAATGCATATGTCACGCGTTCCAGAGGTTTGCGGGTGCTTCTGTCGATCGGGACCGTGTCCAGTATCTTCTGTGTGATGGAGCGGATCAACCCTCCAACCAAGAGTAGGTCAACAATGAGGCTGCGGCGCGGTCCCGCTTTTTGTCAGGCGGTTGCTCACGCCCTCAGCTAGCTCTTCAAGCTCTCTCCTCCAGTTGGTGCAGAGATTAGTCTAATTGAAGGGACGCACGCTCAGATGCATAAGTCAAAAAGTCGCACTGTTCGTGCGGAAAGCAGTCATGCCCACCATCCCTTTTTCGGTAACTCGCTACACCGACGCACCTCCCTAGAGCGGCGTATAAACACGGTATGGTTGAGTGTCAGTAGGTCTTCTAGTCAATTACTGACAGGTTTTACTGCAGACTCTCCGCGATCATCGGGTAGGACCCTGCCACTAGGGGTCAAGATCTTGGACGAGCGCGTGGTGACGGTTCAAGGTAACATCAAGCCACCAAACCTCCTCATCGACCCTCAGACCCTGCAGGCGACCATCATCGATTTTGGCGGTGTCAGCGCACTGCCGCATTCGTTTGTCAGCTTCACACTAGCACATTGCCGAGTTTTTGGAGTCCGTCCGATAACTCTTTGGTGATGGAAGCGGCTACAGGGTTTGTATTGGCCAAAACTGGACTGGGGCAAGAGTTTTAATAAGCCATTCCTCTGCATAACGTTAGATTACAAGTTGACATTGGCTAAAGGCATAAACAAGGATGGTTTTCAGTGTGGAAGGCGACATCTTGTCGAGTCCATTCCTCTGACCCACATCGAACAACTTTAACAATGAGATAATTACACATGAGATGCCAAGGGAATGTGCTCCAAATTTAGCCTTGGGATTGCCCCGCGACGTTGGATAAGGAAGCTTCCGATTGAATTGTTCGGTGGCTGAATCGACAATATACCGCATCTACTCATCGAATCAATCTGAACGAGACCTGCTCCATATTTGTACAGGACCGTTGCCCCAAGTAGAGTGGCTGCATCGCAGAACCCCGTCGGCATGCCTATTCACAGTCAACTCCCGAATGTCACTTAGTGTTCGAGGTCTCTGCCCTGGCGGTGGGGAACGGCCTGATTGCCCCACATGCTCTTTTGCCAGACGGATCCTCCCTCTGAATAGCTCAGAAAATCGCCCTGTTGGACAGACTAAATGCTGCGAGATACTACTATGGCCGGAATCGCTTGATTCTCGTGGTGGCTGTTGCTCACGGACCTTCCCCGATGGGTCCGGGAAAGCAATGCCTATCTGATGGCCTTTGGCTTCGCGTATGTGCTATCCTGGGATGTTGACATTTTTTCGCTTGACAGCTTGTAATTTATTCCTCGCTCATCACGCTCGTAAACTATTTTCTGTGCTTCAACCTGCACTTCAACATTGTCCGTATGCCGCATCTACTTATCTTCAAGCTGGTGTTATCACCTCGTCTTCCCCCGTCCTCATCTTTTTGGGCAGCTACATTGCAAGATCGTCATCGCTACTCTTTCAGCCACGCAAACCCAGCTCTCCCTGTGGTTGGGTGATCTCACATCGCAGAGACGCTGGACACGAGAAGATGACGAGACGGGCAGCCCCTTAGCTAATGGACAGTCGTTGGCCAAACACGATGAATTCAGTTTGTTCCACATCTATCTGGTCGCATGGTCTACATGCCTCGTTCTCAACGCATCCGAATGGCCCCCAAGCGGGGCTTACCATAGATCCATGCATCTGCATGATTCTCCTATTTGGCACGTCTTCGATGATGCAGGCGTTACTGACCCAGTAAGTTGATTTGTTGGTCGAGTAGATGATGATGTATCACTATAGCCCCACAACTGACTGTCTGAGACAATTGGTCCTAACTCTTGCTGGACGCATCAAAGATTTCGAAGCTTATTTATACATGCAGATGGAATCTGTGGGGGTCTTTGATTCTGATACATTAGGGCATTTGTCATTCTCGCAATGCTCTAGGCCTGATCGATTCATTTATCCTTGCACTCACCCTTGGCCCAGCGGTGTCAACGTCCGATAATAGCAAGTCGCCGGTTTTTCTGCAGTCTGTATTGCTCTACTCACAGATCTCTTGGCCCTTGACACCTTTCAGCAGTAACACGATTCCCAGACAATAGGAATTGGACAGGAGAACATAGCAAGGTGTGCAGCTGCGCAGGCAGGGGGGGCAAAATGATGATGAACACCGGCAACATTGCGACTTCACTCAACGAGTTCAATATGTGTTCACGCATAAGCTTGGAATTCAACATATATATCCGGGAGCACTAGAACATTGTTATTGATATCGTACCTGAACGATTTTAAGGTCACAAATGTAAAGATGCACATAAAATAAACAGACAACGCAAAATCCTATACAAACGCGAAACACTAAAGCAGTTGATCTTGGGGACTATCAGATGTTTTGGAAGAAGAATCGTCTGATGACGCGTCGCAGGGAGAAGAAATGTCAGATGATGTGCTGCAAGGAAAATAATAGCTAGGCATAGAGAAAGTCATAGTCAAGCGTGGTACTCGGATACCAGGCAGCTTGGCCAATATCGACAACAATGGGAGCTTTCATCTGGCCCTGGAGCAGAAATCGAGTACCATCCTTGCTGGACTGAGGACGGTAGAAATCTTTAATATTATTGATTAGTCGATCACCGTACCAGAGCTGTACACCATTGGTGCTGTTTGCCTTGACAGAAACCGGGTAATACTCTCGTGGGACAGCGAGTTGCGGGCCACCATGAAACCATACCTCAGTACGGACTAGTGGGGTCCTTCCTGCGGCAAATGAATAGCCCCTTTCACGTCACGAAAACCGGTATGGCTCTAGAGCACTCAGGAGTGCTCTGGAGATTGGTTGCATACTCCCAAGCTCTCGAAAGCTCCCACAGCTCCTGAGTGATCCCAAGTACTTCCGGACGTGATTTTTCACATCATGTGACATCCAACCTTACCTATCTCATCTTTGACTGCTAATGTCCGGAGGCATTAAGTGCGTCGCTGGTGTATTGTGGTCTTCAAACACTTTGAGACTTGGCTGTCAATCACTAGAGGCATTTGTAGTGTTTAATGCTAGTTCTTCACCTCATTTTTGACTGCTGGTGTCCGGGGGCGTTAATTTCGCCACTGGTGTATCATTGAAGACTTTCATGGCTCCCTTTCCCAAGTTGAAAGTCGGCTGTCAAGCACCAGCCAAGAGGCATTTGGAACATCGCTAGTTCTTACAATGTGGACTGCAAACCCACTGTCGGCTACAATGGACAAATAGACAAATAGATTCGGCCAACTCCGCTACAATGGGCTCGGATACAAAAGTATAATCACGTGTCAGGAAAATTTTCAGTTGGGCCACAGCACTTCACCCCATCCTGCCGTTCCCAACCTCAAATGTTCCCATAACACCACCACCATTAGTCTCTATGCCACATGGCTGCGTCTGGGAAAACTATAGCACACTTGTTGCACTGCACTTCCTCTGCCATGGCTGGCTTTTGCAACCACATCATCACTCTGCACACAGGCGTTGTCTCTTGAACATAGAACTCAAAACTCGGATTTCACAACAGGGATAGATCCCTCCACCTCTATTGAGCTCACCTTATGTGTTGACTGGATCTCATAGCCATGTTTGTACATGGCAGTGCGGCTTTCCTGTGTGTTCCATCTGAGTGGACGATTCATCAATACAGGGTAAGATTGACCCGATGACACTCCATGCTGTGAAAGTCCCCTCATGTACTGTTGTAATGTAGTGGGACATGCTGCTCTGTCATGTCACGACTGCGGGGTAACAAATTTGATATCAACAACAACAGGGTAAGATTGTCTAGTTGGTATGGTTGGGGTGACAGTGTCCTCTGGGTTGTGGCGTCAGATTTTAGTCATGTCTGGGTTGTATGTGAAAGCCTGGCACTTAAGTGACTCTGTGCTCTCCACATTGTTCTCCTGGTCTGTTTGTCACGTTGGCTCCTTGAATCATCAAGTGCTCAAATTCTTGTGAGATCCCAGTCTCATGGGTTGTGCTTAGCTATAACTCAGTACTGTTACCATTCTGCAAGGAGTGGTCCAACGTCTCATTGCTCGGCCTTGTGAGTTTTTCCAGTAATTCAATATTTATCATCTGACAGGAAGTTCATTGTAGGTACCAACGCGGAGCCGCCAGAAGTGTGTGAGGTGGAGGAAGGTGGTTCATTGGATACTTAGATATGACAATTAGTTACATTTCCTGTATGTAGTTAAAGAATCTACAATTTCTTCTTTCTGCAACGTGAATGTTTAATGCATAAACTGAGTGGGTGAGATCCAGTATAATATGTACTCCAGAGCACTCCGGAGCACTCCAGAGCACTTCAGGAGCAAACCAATGCTCGGGAGCACTCCAGAGGGGGGTACCTTTCTCCCGGGCTCTAATAGCTCTAATCGCTCAGGAGCACTCAAGAGCTGATAGGAGCGTCTGCCGGTTTTCGTGACGCATGGTCCGGCAACTGATGGAAAAATGGACGCTTGATCCAAGTCTCGTCCAACTCAGGTCCTGCATCCACCCAGGAATGATGTGCATAAACTGTGTCACCCGCCAACGGAAGAGTGGGTCGAGTAGATACCGGATGGGGGATGTGATACGGGCAGGTAGGGGCCATGCCAGTATTTATAATCCAAGATTTGTCTCCCCGCACATTATAACGCGCAATAAAATCACCCGATTCCGTCGACCAGGTGAAAGCGCTGTGCTCATCGAAGGCAGCAATGTATCGTGCCCCCGGAGAAAACGCAACCATGTGACGCTCAGGAAAGGCTGACTCGGAATTGGATCGGAAGGATTGAATGGGAGAGTCGGGAGGAGAGGCAAGGAGCTGAATGTGCGGGTCGCCTGAAATGTATATACACGCCACGTTGTTGTACCAAGGCTTTCCAGGATCCCGTAGGACTCGTATGATGAACAATCCACTATCTGAGACTGCAGTTACAATGGGATAGGTCCCTATGGGGAGAATGCCAAGTTTCACAGGCAGTGTACCATGGCTATAGATAGTGATGTTCCCGTCGACATCCTCGGCAGCGACATGATGATGACCATGGACAAACTCGATCCAGGCTGGTGGATTGGGTGGATGATTCTGGAACTGAGACATCGTATGCTGATCGTCGATATCAGCGATCTCAATAACACCACTACCAAACCCGAGTGCAATGTATCGGCCATCTCGAGAGAGTGCTGTGCACGTCACAATGCCATTACGGACATCAGGTTCACGGAATTCAGCTTCATAATTGATCACTTCATCATCCCACTCATCAATCTTCGTTGGCAATTGATCTGATTTCGCCTCCATAAGCATTTGGGCATTAAGCAAAGCCTCGCTCAATGGAATCAAGTGGTTCGAAATCTTGCTGGAGAGGGTCAGAGAGGTGGCCATATAGTTTATATTGAATTCATCAAATCCTGGTCGCACCCAAGGGTCCCCTCCCAGGTGCAGGTATGTAAGGAAGTTTTGTGTAAGGAAGGAATTGAACTCATTCTGCAATTCATAATTGTCATTGGACTCTTGGGAAAAGAGTCGTGCAGGGTCCAGATGGAGGAGTATGTAGCGATTGACGTATCGGATGTGTTCGGGTCGTTCCCCATAGGGTTTGAAATCTGCCCATTTTTCTTTGTCACCAAGAGGAGGATTAGTGGGTATCCTAAATTCATTCCGCTTGCAACAATTATTGAAAATTCGAAGGAGTAGCGGTCCGAGAAATATCCTTTCTTGTCCTTGATAAAAAATACTTTGTCATTTTTATTACCAATCGGACTCCCCGTTATAAATTCTTGCGCTTTGGCATGATAGAATTTAACACCTTTCCAATCCTCCGAAGGAAGTTCAATGATTGAGCTAATCGGTTCCAATGTGGCTTGGGCCTCATCCTTGGCAATTCCTAAAAGCTGCGACATAGAATACACACTCAGTGATGAATGTGCCGAACTAATTGTGCCAACCAATAGATGATACATCTTTGCTACATCGACAGGCATTGCAGATGAATCAGGCATATAGGCCCTTCGAAGTATTCGCAAGTACTCCCAGTTGAGACTGGTGGGTGGATCGGAGAGATTGAGAAGGTACTGGAACTCTGTCTGCAGGGTGCGACCATGCCATGTCTGCGAGATGACTTCACGAATTCGGATTGATGCCATAACAGGCAATTCACGACAAGCCAAAGTAAAAGCATCGAGATCTTCCTCCGAAGGTTTCCACCGAGATTTCCTGATACGATCTCGAAGGCCATCCTCCACCATGCAGCGGATCGTGTGATACTTCTCCTGCGTAATTTTATCCACATCTTCGCATGGTATGACAAGGCCCTGTCCCCGAGCTTCATCCCAAGCTGACACAATCAATGACTCAGGATGACAGCTGATGAATACTGCAAACGTGGCTGGCAGCTCTTCGAGGATAAGGACGAGCTCCATCAGACGTTCGAGTGCTTCTAGATCTCCACACTCATCCAAGCCATCTAAGATGATGACGAGGCAATCTTTTCCAGAAGGTAATATCTCCATCAGATTACGCATAGGCTTGATAACAAGAGCCTTCTGTCAGGGCACACCCGCCTGACCCGGGCCCACCCGGGCCCACCCGGCCACACCACACCCGCTCCCCGCTGTCTATCCCCCTCCCCCCTCCTTCCTCCCTCTCCTCCCCTTTCTTTTCCCTTTTCTTTCCCCTTTCTTTATTTCATTCTTCTCATCTTCCTCTTCCTGTTTATTTCTTTCTATCTACACGGACCACCTTCCTTTGTATTGATGTACTATTGACCCGTCCAGCCCACACACCCCGGACGGCTTCCCGCTGTGCCCAGCATGCGCGCATGTAGCGGACGCTCTCGGGATCCCCCACAGGGACACCCGGATGCCTGCGGCTGCCTCCGAGGATGATGTGGCACCTGTCATGTGACTCAAGCCGCATGTACATAAATGTACCTGAAGTGGGAACCGAAGAAGTAACCTTCTTCTCACATTCTCCACTTCAGTCTGAGTGGCCAGGGACCACTGTCCCGGATCGGGCCCACCAGTACACACGCCCGCTCCACACCCCGCGACGGCCTCAGTGCCGGGTATTACCCCTGGGCCCTCTCAACCCCGGACGCGTCCCTGACACCTTCATTTGCTTTTCCAGAGACAGATGCTGAGGCAGTTGCAGATCTTGCTGCCGAAGGTGCCCAACAAGTGACATCATGAACTCCCTATCGAAGCATGTGAGTTGATGTGCCAGCATGGAAGGAAACAGCTCAAGGGAATCAAGGCCCATTCCAACCTGGTTTTTATCCCAAAAAAAGGATGCTGCTAGAGTGTTCTGCACCCTGAGGGTGGATGCAACACTCATAGCTATTGCAGTCTTCTGTTAGAGACCAGAAGCAAGATGAAGGAGTTGTCTCTGTGGTGGAGGGCTTTGGCCTCAGCAACTCAGACCAGGAGCGCTGTGCCTAGTTACACGTCCGTGCCCTAATTTACTTACTGGCAACGAGAACTAAAAAGGGGGATCAACTCTAGTCAATTTTATCACTGGGGTGTAACCTATCTACAAGTTAAGTATATATAGTCACAACGAGGCAGGCCCATGAATGGCAGGACCAAGCAGAGCTGTCAGAGACCAGGTTGAGACGAGGGAATGTCTCCATGGCAGAGGGCTTTGGCCGAGGCGACTTATGCCAGGAGTGCTGTGCCAAGTAACATGTCCATGCCCTAACTTACTAAACTGGCAACCAGAACTGAAGGGGGGTAAACTCTAGTCAATTTTATTACTGAAGTGTAACCTATGTACAAGTTGAGTATATATAGTTACAGCGAGGGCAGGTCCGCAAATGGCGGAGCCGAGCAGAGCTAATTGTCAGGACTCGGTCCTTGATCAGGGACAGCCTGACCTCAGGCCTGGGTGTGTGCGGTGTTCTGGGTGGTTGGGCGCTAGACCCTGTCCTCAGCTCCTCAAACTCACTGAAGGGACTAAGCGGGGATTGAGTTGTCATGTATTACAGAGGGTAACTACAACTTGCCTAAGTGGGGATTGAGTTGAGAAGAAGGGTAAGTTTCCCTATTCCCTGCTTGGCTACTATATAAAAGGGGAGTGTACTGTACAGTTCATAACGTGACTCCGGGTAGAAGCCGAGCATGTTCCTGCGACTTGGAAAAGGTGTCACATGGGTTAAGGCAAGTTGCTCGCCTTGACCCACGTGATTTTTCCCGTGGGCTCGCATGCGGGCTGAAGTTGTGAGAGATATGTAGGGATGGGGAGGTCAGGGAAGTGGGGGAAGTCTGGGAAGGTGGTTCTGGGGTGTGGTTGGGTGCCCTGACAGTGGGGTCAGGGGTCGATCCCTGACACTAATGGGGTTAAACATTAGCCGATTGAATATTACCGATGAGTCGGGTTACGGGGTTAATGGAAAGGCAGGTGATAACCCAGAAATGGAAAGGAGGGATAGGCCCGAAGGTGGGCTCTGCAGGGCAAGCGAGTGTATTGCCCAGCGGAGGTGGGAGTGTGCTAGCGGATGTCGGAGCTGTCCAGAAGCCTTCGGGGCTCTGTACTTAGGGAGGTGTAGGTAATAAATTGAAAGGAGGGGGTGGTGACCATCAAGGGGTACCGAGGGGATTGTGGAATACAGGAGCTCCGAGGTTTAGTGAAGAAGGAGCGGAGGTAGACCGGAGGAGTTGGAGGGATTGGAAGTCAATGGCCAGGGATGGATATGACAAGAGCGGAGCTAACAGAGTTAAACATTAGCTGACTGAATATTACTGATGAGTCAGGTTACAGGGTTAGCGGAATGGCAGGCGATAACCCAGAAATGGAAAGGAGGGATAGGCCTGAAGGTAGACTTGCAGGGCAAGCAAGTGAATTGCCCAGCGGGGGTGGGAGTGTGCTAGCGGATGTCGGAGCTGTCTGGAAGCCTTCGGGGCTCCATACTTAGGGAGGCGTAGGTAATATATTGAAAAGAGGGGGTGGTGACCATCGAGGGGGTTGGGGGTGATTGCAGAATATGGGGGCTCCGAGGTTAGTGAAGGAGTGGAGGTAATCTGGAAGGATCGGAGGTAGTGGAAGACAACGGCTGTGGATGGATATGACAGTATCCCCTTCTTAGGCCTGAACCCTTGAAGGCCCAGAATTAGTAAGGTGAGGGGAGCTGTACTTACAGAAAAAAATGAAAATGGGAATGAGGAGTGGAGAGAAAGGAGAGATGGGAGAGGAGTTGAGGTTCCTAAGGAGCTTTGGGACCAGGCTTGTCTGGGTACTGAGAGTGGAAAGCTTTGACAAGGTCAGAGGCATGATCGAGTTTGCCAGCAAGGAGCCATTGTGTCTCCTTGTTGGTCCCTTGTCAGGGCACACACCCTGACTAGCCCAGACCCGGACCCGCATCCAGACCCACATCTGCCCACTGCACTTCCCACATGCATGCATGCTCCATGTGCCACATGCTCCAGGCCCAGTTCCTATCCCTTCATGTGACTTCCGGGTATCCCCAGAAGTTTGCCTGATATTGTGGCCACTGTGGGAAGATGAGAAGTTAGCTTCCTTCTCATCTCCTTACCCACAGTAGGTTGTGCCCTGGATAGGGCTGGTTACACCACAGGGCTGTGGACCATAGGGGAGGGCCATGGGGACCCAGGAGTTGTCCCCTGACAGCAGAAGGAAGCTTCAACAATTGCCCCTGCCCACCTAGGATGTCCTGCATGGGCCGTGAGAGCCCGGACTGAGTCGGAGTTGGGCACAGGCCGAGTCCGCAATTTTCGAGTGGCAGCCATGCCATGTCATCACTTCCCCCAGACCATTACATGTTCTTTACCCATGACACAGCCACATTCCTGTTCCCTATCCCAGCCCCTTGCAACGCTATTCCAATCTGTGAGGTTGAGTTGAGGGTCATCCCACTGCTTCCCACACACCTCACTGAATGCACTAAGGAGATATAGCCGCCCGACTGCTGCTGATGTACCAGCCAAAAGTGTTACAGGAATGGGTTCCGGGGAACCCAACCTGTGCCGTTCTGCTCATGGACAGAGGTGGCTGCATAGCCGTTGAAGGGAGAGCAGGAGATCTGAGACCGGGTGTACTAACGGTAACTTGGCACTACGAGGAGCGTACCGGCAGTGGGTATAATGGGGGCTCCTTGAGGGAGCCACCTAACAGTTGGCTAGCGGCAACTTGGCACTCCAAGGAGCATACTGGCAGTGGGTATAATGGGGACTCCTTGAGGGAGCCATCTGTCAGGGCACACCCGCCTGACCCGGCCCCACCCGGCCCCACTTCACCCGGTACCCTGCCACCCAGTCTTCCCCTACCTCCTCCCCCCCTTCTTCTTTCTTTCTTTCTCCATTCCACTCTCTCTTTACTTATCTCACCTTCTCTTTATTTTCTCTTTATTCTACACGGACGACCTTTCCTTGTATCAATGTACCATTGACCCACCTGCAGCGCGCTCACGGCACGCCCAGCCCGGGCGCCTCGGGCGACCCCCGCTATGTCCAGCTCGCGCATTCACAGCGGACGCCCTCGGGATCCCCCACGGGGACACCCAGGTGACTACGGCTGTATGCGAGGATGACGTGGCACCCGTCATGTGACCTAAGCCGCATGTATATAAACATACCTGAAGTGGGAACCGAAGAAGTAGCCTTCTTCTCACCCTTTTCCACTTCAGGTAAGTAACATAGTATTCCCTTTTAATAATAATAACACCCTTTTCCACTTCAGTCTAAGTGGCCAGGGACTGCCTCCTGAGCCGGGCCCGCCAGTACGCACGCCCGCTCCACACCCCGCAAGGCTCCTAGTGTCGGGCGTCTCACCCGGGCCTCCTCTACCCCGGACGCGTCCCTGACACCATCTAACAGTTGGCTAGCAGTGACTTGGTGCTCATGTGAGCGTACCGGTAGTGTGGGTAGTTGGCACTCCTTGAGGGAGTAGCCCAGTGGTTGTCTATCAGTTACTTGGCACTCAAGGGAGCGTTGTCATATCCATACAATCCCGACCTCCGCTCCGGGCTCCCGGAACTCCGAACCTGACTTCCGGAGTCCTACTTCCCTTCCATCACCTCCTCCTTGCCGACTCCCAAGAGGTTATTGTCAGGGCACACCCGCCTGACCCGGCTCCACCCAGGCCCACCCGGGCCCACCTCACCTGCTCACCCGCTCACCCGCTCCCCGCTACCCATCCTTCCTCCCTCTTCCCTCTTCCCTCTTTCTCCTTTATTTCACTCTCCCTTTCTGTTTATTCTTTCTATTTACACGGACCACCTTCCCTTGTATCATTGTACTGTTGACCCGTCCGGCTCGGACACCCCGGGCGACTTCCCGCTACGCCCAGCATGCGCGGACGCCCTCGGGATCCCCCACGGGGATACCCAGATGGCTGCGGCCCTCTCCATAGATGACGTGGCACCCGTCATGTGACCCAAGCCGCATGTACATAAATGTACCTGAAGTGGGAACTGAAGAAGTAACCTTCTTCTCACGTTTTCCACTTCAGGTAAGTAGTGTAGTTCTTCCTTTTAATAACAATTCACGTTTTCCACTTCAGTCTAAGTGGCCAGGGACTACAGTCCCAGATCGGGCCCGTCAGTACGTGCGCCCGCTTCGTCCCCCGAGAGGGTCCCTCTGCCGGGCGCTACAGCTGGGCCCCCTCCACCCCGGACGCGTCCCTGACAGTTATCCCACCTCCGGCTCTGACACCACCTTCGGTCCGACTCCGGGACATTCCGGGTCCGACCCCAACCTCGACACCTTCCAGACGAGTACGCAAAACCTATGCTCCTGACTCCGGACCTCCACTCCGGAATCCCGTTCGCGTCTCCATCTCCGGAACCTCCGGTCTTAGCTCTGACCTCGGACTTTGACCCCACCTCCGCTTATACCCATTGTATTGGTTAGCTCATTCCATTTAATTGCCTTTGCCAATATTCCGGAGTTTAACTTCCGAGTTCGGACTTTCCGGACTTACCTCGGACCTTGCAACTATTGCATTGTCCTATTCAACTCCGCTATTCTCCCTCATTCCTATTTGGGCTGCTGCTTCCTTCCTATTCAGTCAGCTAGCCATTCCCCACTCCCAACCTCCTTCCTTCCTCCTTGGGCCTTGGCCCTTCATTCCTCCTTTGAGAAACACCATTGAGTCAAACCCTTGACCCTCGGTGTTGTTCCTCTTTCCATCT